AATAACTTATTATTCTAGGTAAAAATATTTTTTAAATCTTCTTATATAAATTAGTAAATTAACTTTAATAAATCTATAAATAATAGTGTTAAAGGATAGATTATATTTAAATAAAAGAAGTTAAGGTTTTTTAAATAAAATTAAGTTTTAGAAAAATATTAAAGCTAGTCTAATTAAGATATATAGTCTAGAACTTATATTATAGAAAAGGTTAATAGTATAGGGCGTATATTTGAAATCTTAGACAATTATATTAAAAGACAATTAAGTAAAATTAGATTAATTAATTTTTAAGAAGGGAGAACCTCCTTATTTATAAATGAAAAACTATTTAAGGATTTATAATCTTTATATTTCTAATTATAGAATATAATTATAATTACTAATATTACTATAAGCTTATATTATAAATCTAAGCAATTTATTATAAAAGCTTATAATCTTATATTAGATTTAAGGCTTATACTTATATTTAAAATTAGTTTTACTACTAATTTACTATAATAGTAATTTAATTCTAAATATATTTATTAATAGTTTTAATTACTAAGCTTATATAATATATATTTTATTATATATATTTATATTATTTAGCTTAATTATATAATTAACTTATTTTAAGTTAATAGATTATAATATAGTAAGATTATAGTCTTTTTATAATAAACTTAATATATACTTTTATATTTTTAATATTAATTTATATTTTAATACTTTAATTAATAATAATATATTTATAATATAAATAAATATAGAAATTAATACTAATAATTAGTATATCTTTTATAAAAGATAAGTAGATATTATATTAAAATATAAAACTAAAGTTTAGATTAAGACTTAATATATATATTATAACTTAGAAATATATTATAAGAAGGAACCTGTTTCTTTAAGTTCTTAAATATTTTTCTTTATTCTAGATTATAAATTATTTCCTATTATAAACTATAAGCTCTCTTAAATTTCTTATACTTTAATATAATAGAAAACTTAAAAATTTTTACTTAAATAAATACTTATTATTAAATCTTTAATTAATTAGAAAAACTTTCCTTTAATATTTTATTTAGTTTAATAGTTTTTATTATAGATCTTTATTAAATAATAATATTTATTTATTATATTTTACTATTATAGGCTCTATATTAAATATTTTATATACTATTATATTATATTAAAAGAATATAGTATTAAGAATAAGAACTTAAATAAGATTAATATTAACTAGCTATAGAAAATTATTTTAATAGTAATGAAATATCTCTTACTATTCTCTCCTATTAATAAAAAATAATAAGATATTAAAGAACTACCTTAATAATATATTAAGTTTATTTTAATATTAAAAGTAAGCTTATAATAGTCTTATTTCTAAGTAAGTAATATAAGTTAATTATAGTAACTAAGAATCTTAATATAAAGCTATAAATATATAGTAATTTAGAGTAAGTTATCTCTAATAAGAGTTAGCTTTTAATAAATAATAAATTTATTAATAATAACTTTACTAATAGAAATACTAATTCTTAGATTATATAGCTTATTATAGCCTCTAAAGATTAGTATTATTAATAGTTTAATAGACTATTAATAGTTTAGTTAAGTTAAATAATTAGTTTAATAAATAGTTATTTATTTTACAAATTATACTAATTACTAGTAATCTAGTTTAAGTTTATAAACTAATTATTTTAATTAATAGTTAATATATTAAATAATTTCTAAAGTTTTTTACTAGGAGATAAGAATTAGAAATAAAATTATATAAAGTTAATTCTTTTTTAATATTTTAAAAGAATAAATATCTTAGTAAATTAAAAGTTAAACTAGTTAACCTATTAATTATCTACTCTAGCCTTTATATTAATTACTAAACTATTAGTTTTACTACTAATAGTTTAGTCTAAACTTTAAACTAGGACTATTTAAACTATTAGTAATACTGTTAAAGATTAAGATAAAACTTTGTCTTAAAAAACCTTTAGCACTGACTACATCTATATATAATAATGTTAAGGATAGCATCACTATCCTATTGCGAGTCTACGCTATCAACATAACCGCCGAAGCCGTGATAGTGTAGACTCGAGACTACTAGAGTGTTCCTATTCACTAGGCCTAAACTAGTCGCTAACAATGACCGCGTGCGAATCATTGATAACTCGCTAAACAAGTCGCATCCGTCTAGCCTTCAGGTAGTTATCGTAGCCACAGAGCAAAAAGCCTAGGGACAGTCAACCCAGCCGCATAGGTCCGCTGATGGATTTAAGGGCCGATCGTAGGCCCAAGATAGAGGATCTGGTGATGCTAAAGCCTAGCACGCCGCGTGTGAAAGAGGTTGATATTACGAAGCTCTTAGATGGGCTAGACGATGGGGAGTTAAATGTTCGCATGCAATCGAAGGGTCGCAGGTGATGGCATATAGAGGTAGAGGCAGGACATGATGGCAAGGTGCCAGCATCTTTGTGCAAGGCTCTCGTTCCTCCTTTGATGCTTGCAGATGAAATTGGCATAAAGATTAAGAATGGGAGAATGTACTAGAGCAGTTGGGAGAGACTCTAGTGGGCAGCAACAGACAAATGTCGCTGTGTTTTATTAATTAGTAGTAGGATTTATAATCAAGGGTGCTTTACTTGTAGCTAAGCCAGCAGATCTTGCCTTTATATAGGGGTTTCCCGGTAGGAGAGATGACCAGCTTTCACCAGACTGATGATTTATAATCCAAACCAATGTCCGCTATAGCAGAGAGTCGGCAACCGAGATTGCTCTTCGCAATGGGGGGACTCCGTGTTCGCTATTTGGATTCCCCGAGCAAACCTGACTCCAATCACTCGCAAGAGCACGCCTCCACCAGCCCGATAAGATGACTCGAGCGCAGTATGCGTCTTCCCAAAGATCGCGCTGAGCAAGAACGAGCACGTGGATATTGTCATAGTGACCAACCTATACGCATGATCTGCGCCGAACAATTGCGGCCGATGGTCTCACCTATCGCTGTCACATTGATTTCAACGGTACACGTCACAGAACACGAGCATCGCATTGTCACCTTCTTTTCAGTATGTCACGGAGTTGAGCATATGATTGGGTGATCCTGGGCCTTCGACCGTCATCGCATGCAAGGGAGAAATCTGGAGGTAAGATGATGTGAAGAAAAACAGGTGCGAATAGAGCCGAGCTCCGAACCTGTCAACCGGTTTAGTAAAAGCTTCTCACACGATCGTAATGATTGCCAAAATCCAATCGGAGAGTTTGTCTGCTCACGTATCTGCATGCCCGGAGAATCTCGGTCCGTACGGCTGAGCTCGGAAGATCGACTAGACAGGCCAGATATTCCACACCGATTGTGGAAATAGTCGACTTCAGCATCGTGTGAGTAGGGTTTTCCTTCATGAAAATAGGACAAGGGTCTCAATTGATTCTGCAGGGTCCAGCGCATCTTCACCGATAATCATGAGGCAACATTGCCACCATGTACCTCCTCAATGAAAACAAATGGGAAGACATGACTCGCCAATAGGAATGTCTCATTCGTGTGGAGAACATTCACGCTTACATACATTCTATGATCGCGACGAGGTCTTTGGCTGTTGCGTCCCCAGCAGCTTCTGGGTTGGCCACCTTAGTCGCGATTGCGACATTACAATTGCAGAATGCAGCAAGGACATGGATTGCATGTGTACCCGAATGAGACTGGTTGGTAAATAAGTCAAATTTGTATGATTTTGTGATTTACAGTGTTCTTATTGCAATCAAATCTGGCATCGCAATGAGCGGCTTCGACTCCTTGTCACCTCATCTGAAATCGAAGAACCTCGACACAAACTGGCAAAGTGTCCCCCGTCATACGACAATAGCTGAGAGAAGTTGAAAGGTGCTTCAATAACAGTCTACAGCTGCGTGTTAAAGGGTCTTCACACGACAATGGGAGACTATAGCGATCCTCCACAACAACAACAACTGATGGACCTCCAAGGCAGTGTGGGAGCTCTATTTCGCCCTGACTTCAATTTCACGTGCGGAACCTCCACGACCAAGCGTAGATGGTATGATTTTTCGATATCATCATTGGAGACCACATACCTACAGTCATCAGAAGCTATCTCGGAACACTCACTTACCCTACTCTGTGCGCTTCGGATCTTGCACTACCGCCATTCTGGAATTGAGACAGCCTCGATAGCGGTTCACTCTGTCGATGGTTCTGCGTCACCTGGCCAGGTCCCTTTCCACATGGACGACGAAATAAGCATACACCAGGCATTGAATCTTGCGCGAGCTTCATTAGCTACTGCTAAGTCTTACAAACAGCCCGCTGTTGGGAGCGTTTCGTCCGCAAACTCCATTTGCTTTCAGTACTTGGCAGATGAGCGACGCCCCGTGTCAAAGACTGAGTAGGGTAAAAAGGCTTTCATTGCGCAAATCCAACGCTGAGGTGTTTCTAGGCATTTCCCCATGATTTGGTATTTTCATGAAAGCTCGAGTTGCTGTATCGATTACGATGAAACGCAATATCATCCAAAAACGATTGAGTTCATTTCTCTTAGCTACAAGGATGTTCTTTCGGCGGTGTTGACCCAACCATCGACTTCCATAAGCACCATAGTATTCCCACACGCTCAGAAACAATTACGGTGCCTTGACGGACCTCTCCATCCTCCAGCAAAAGCCAATTGTCCCGCAAGCCTCGTCGACGGCTTCAGGAATGTGGTCGCAAACTATGGCTCCAATCTAGCAATCGTTCAAGGCCAATTCTTAGCTAAGTTCGACGAGTTTGACAATTTGTCGTCCAACCTTGCTCGGAAAATATTGGCTGAAGCCGGCTCGGGGTTCGTACCCGGGGGCTGATCGCTTTTTGCATTCCCCCTTCAGCCCTGGCAATTGTCACAATCCTCGCGATAGTAAAGACTGGGTGCGCTTACATCCCTATCGACGTGAGACACCCTCTTGATCGCGTGCACGATATCATGAAGCTTTCGGACTGTCACTGCCTCGTAATGTCGGCTGACTCACCCCATTTCCTCCGGTACGACATTCCTACGGTAAAAAAGGTTGATATAACAAGCTTCTTGAACAACTCGACGGCTAGGATTACTCCTGTACCAGTAGATGAAATGAAAATCTCTGCCCATAACAAGGTGGCGTGTCTTTTGTATACCTCTGGAACTACAGGTCATCCTAAGGGCGTTAGAGTGACACAAGAAAGCATCTCTGCTTTCGTGTGTCATGGAGACGCTGTGACCTTTGGACCTGGTGATCGAGTATCTCAAATTACCAATTTGGCGTGGGATGCCCACATTCTAGAGACTTGGGGTCCATTACTGCGAGGTGCAACGATTTGCAGCTTTGATCGTTTCGATGTACTCGACCCACTGGTCCTTACTACGCTCTTCAATGCAATCGAGGTATCGCATAGCTTTATGACATGTGCTATGCTCCGACACGTACTAGGGAAGAGTCCTGGAATGCTCCAATCGCTGAAATTACTGGTCACAGGAGGGGACTCAATCCGATACGACGACTACCTTGCAGTCAGGGATGTCAATCCCGAGCTGATTATTCAGCACGTTTATGGGCCGAGTGAATGCTGCGTCTTCACGGTTTTCAATACCACTCAACTATCATCTCAATTCCCTACTACAGGTACAGTACCGATAGGGAAGCCGTTAGTCACGACTCAAGTTGTACTACTTGATCCAAATGGCCGCTTAGTCCCACCTCTTATCTGTGGAGAAATACACATTCGAGGCTCCTGCATCGCAGATGGTTACGAAGGCCAGGAACAAGAAACAAAAGCTGCTTTCATACCTAAGCAAATCACGAGTATCAATGATAACCCATCCCTGTTCTATCGCACCGTGAGCATTCCAACCCTACCCTCTTCAACCTTTTTTGCAATATTTACAATGATATCGGGTCAATGTTTACTTTACTGACATCGATGTAGAATGATAAAGCGACATGGACATCCAGTGGCCAGCTTGAGTTCTTGGGCCGCCTCGTCTACAACCAAGTCAAAGTACGTGGTCAACGACTCGAAGTCGACGAAGTTGAAGCCAATATAGTCAAAGCTACACAAATAGGCAATGTAGCTGTCGCGTACTACAGAGGCGAGTATCAGCGCAACGGAGCTTTACTAGGCTATTTGGTCCCCGGGTCAAATTCTCCGTATTGGCAGCATTTGGAACGGGATGAGTCAGTTGTGGTTGAGACGTGGGAGGAATATTATGATGTCGCATACACAACTGACGACATGTAAGTAATTCAAATGTGCCAAACATGAACAAGGAGCTCATACTTGCCAACAGAGTCAGTTACCGCAAAGCGTTCATCGGCTGGGATAGCATGATCACAGGTCAGCCAATTCCTCAGGATGAGATGGAATGTGAGTTGTCTATACTTGTCCCTGTCATCTCGCGTGACGATGCTGACACTGCCCGACCGCAAGCCTGGCTCATGGATACGCTACGTCCTTTCTTTGCACACAAGCCGCAACAAACCTTCGAGGTGGGTTGCGGTATCGGAATCATTATTAACGAGACAGTCCAACTGGCAAAACATTCCTTTGGGATCGAACCATCCACGGCAGGTCTGCAGAAGCTACAAGCGCAGCTTTCGCGCGATGGATTGGCGGAGAAAGCATCGTTGTGGCATGCAAGTGTTGACCAGATACAGACCCTGCCTGACTTCGAGACTGACTTCATCTTGATCAACTCAGTGGCCCAATACTTCCCGTCACTGCAGTATCTGGAAAATGCAATCCGTATATGCATCGACAGATGTGGGCCTGGAGGCCACATCATGCTCGGGGATCTTCGAAGTGCGCCACTCAACGACCTCTTAGTCATAGATATCTTGCTTCATCAGTGGAAAGATTGCCTTGATAGGAAGAACATTCGAGATCTTCGACAGGAGGTCCACAGAAAGCAACAGTATGCGACAGAGCTCTTGGTGGACCCAATGTTCTTCTTCCAGCTACAACAACGTGACTCGCGGATTACGCACGTGGAGGTCCTCCCAAAGATCATGGGTCAGAACAACGAATTGAGCCGCTATCGGTACCAAGTTGTCCTGCACATTCAAGCCCAGGTGTCTTTTGTCTACCCCAACGTGTGGGAGTCTCCTAAAGATAATGATCCCACCTTGATGTCTCTAACCCAATTAGTCCGGCAATTTGTATTCAGTGACCACGCCATCCTCGCTATTGAGCGCATACCAAATCGATTTCTCACCGGGCACGTGCAAAGGCTTCAGGTACTTCGCGCACCATCCACACACCAGCTCACCAGCCTCACTGAAATTATAAGTTCTCCTCCGCAAGCTGTGGGATGGTCTGCTTCAGATCTAAGCGACTTGGCAACGCTCCATGGGCTTTCTCTGCAACTGAGCTATGCCCGTCAGCAAGAAGGCGGTATTCTAGACGCGGTTTTCACAAAAGTTTCAACAACTGAGCAAAGATTTATATTCCCGCAGTCTCCCACGGCCGATTCGTCAGTTTCTCTGAATCCAGAAGAGGAAGCATCATTCAGACGCAAGAAGCTAGACGATAGTGCTTTCGAGACTATCACCAAGATGTTGAAGGCTATGATTCCAGACTTTATGATTCCAGAACTCTTGTACATCATCGATCATATTCCTCTCACCAAAAACGGTAAAATCGACCGGAAGGTGCTAGCGAACATTGCAGCTTCCGATTATGGAATTGCTCTGCGGAAGGAAGCAGAAGTATACGGCTATAGTAACGAGACTGAACGTGAAGTATGTGATGTGTTCACTAATCTCTTGGGTTCTGCGACGGCAGTCTCGCCGGCAACAGACTTTTTCAGAGCAGGGGGACATAGTCTTCTTGCTACGCAACTACGTTCCAAACTACAAGAAATATTTCAGGTCAGCCTCTCGATCCGGCAGATATTCGATGCACCTACGGCAGCAGAATTGTCTGCTGTAATCACGAAGTCTGAGAAGATCCTTCGTCAAGAGCCACTGTATATCAACAATGATATTCAACATGGAGCGCTTACTGAACTCTCGAACGCTCAATTTCGCGTCTGGTTCCAGACCTTGTTGAACCCAAAGGATCCTTGGTACAACTCTGGGTTTACCCTCCGATTCGCAAGGTGTCTCCATGAAGAGGTTTTGGAGAGAACTTTGAATGAGATTGTGATGCGTCATGAAATCCTTCGGACTCTTATCGTGGAACAAAATGGTGTACCGATGCAGTTGCTCACAGATCAGATACCTCATCTGGAAAAAATCGATCTGCTTAGCTTGGACGACATAGAACACGCCAAAGCAAGTGTACGTGAACATCTGCTGCGACCTTTCGATCTCGATCGCGAAATACCTATCCGCCCTGTGCTATTTCGCAGAGGCGAACAGCATATTTTGTTGATATCAATACATCATATTGCTACCGACGGCTTCTCCCACGACATTTGGAGAAGGGAATTGACAACTATCTATCCAGCTATGCTAGCTGGTGAATCATCGCCTCTGCGAGCTCTACACTTGCAATATAATGATTTTGCAATGTGGCAGCGTTCTGAGGAAAACCGTCGACTCGTGGATTCCGAGCTCGATTACTGGATTCCATATCTGAAAGGCAGCCGACCGGCAAGACTGCCTGTTGACTTCACCCGTAGCTCGGCTCATAGTGAGGCTGGCACCTCGACCTTTGAATGTGATCAAGAGTTGAAAGATCGTCTTCAAATAATTTGCAAAAACGAGCGCGTAACGTGGTTCATGCTGCTCATCGCTGCATTCCGCGCTCTACAGTTCCAATGGACAGGCCAGTCTGACGCCTCACTGGGAAATCCAATTGCCAATCGCCATCACTCGGAGTTCGAATCTCTACTGGGTTTCTTCGTCAACACACAAGTCGTTCGACTGAAATGTCAGAATCATATGCCATTTTTGGATCTTCTTCGCCAAACACGCGACTTGACTCTGAAAGCCTTCGATCATCAACATGCGCCCTTTGAAAAGATCGTCGAGACATTGAACCCTTCTCGTTATGCTCTGCAAAATCCTTTGGTCGAAATCATGTTTGCTTTCCAGACGACGAGCACAGCGCCATTCAATCTAGCTGGTATACCGGTCTCATACTTTGGCATCAACAACTTGACTACTCGTTTTGACCTAGAAGTTCATTGGGAGGACAGACCAGACCATTTACGATGTGTCATGTTCTATCGGCTCGATGTTTTCAAGGCCTCAACAATTGAAAAATTTGGACATGAGCTCGTCGTATTACTCGAAACCATAGCGGACAACGCGGATACACTGCTCATGACTGACCACTTGGAGTCAGAAACCATCGAACTAGAGGTAAATAAGTCTTCGTGTCGCAAGTTATTGAGTCCGTCGGCTGACTTCACAATAGTCTTATGCTCCGTTGCCTGAGTTTCTAGCCTCCGTTCAGGGCCCAGATGGACCCCCACAGAACGCGACCGAGCGAACAATCATCTCTGTTTTTGAGATCGTTTTGGGACAAGAAGAACTCACGCGCCAATCTCATTTCTTTGAGCTCGGAGGCCACTCACTCCTTGTGACACTAGCTTGCTCCAAGCTGAAGAAGGCATTGCTCAAGGAGGTCAAGATTGTCGATATTTTCTCATACCCAACGCCTGCAGCACTCGCTATCAGAGCTCATGAGTTGTCAGATACTCGAGTCGTTCAGATGCCCACCCCAATCAATTCCGAGGACAAAGCGGATCGCGATGTTACCTCCCCGACACTACAAGAAATGCCTCCTTACTATAGATTCCGAACATTGCCCGGTAAACCCTTGCTCTTCTGCCTTCCCATGGCGACGGGAATAGGCTCGGTCTTCGCAAGGCTTGCACTCAAGACCGACGAGTTCTGCACCGTGGCAATGAACGACCCATTCCTCAACAAAGCAGAAGCCGGCACCAAAAGTAACGGATCCAGCTCGAGCATGGAAGACCTCGCCGCATCATACTATAAAGAGATCCTCAATATCGAGGAAAATCTCAATCGCAGCCATCCGAGCGAAGACCACACCAACAAGCCTCCACCACTGAGTCTCCTTGGCTACTCCTTCGGAGGCAATGTCGCCATCGAGGTCGCCCGCCTCGCACAACGCGACCACCGCGCCGTAAACCTCTTCCTCATCGACTCCGCCGTCGCGAAAATCCCCTCTACTCAACAAGTCATCCAGCAGAGCGCTGATCTAGGCTTCAAGGACATTGGCTCCGCATCCGACATCGAAGCGAAGATCCAATCGACCATTGCGCAGACCGTTGCTGCTGCTACTGAACGAGCGCTCTCTTCCCTGATACCCCGCGACACGTCTGTAGGAGGGGAGACAGAGAAGGGAGAGGGTGGCTTGGAGAAGTTCCGCGAGTGTGCAGAGATCAATGTTAGACGTCTGCTTGGTCATGAGATGGGATTTTATGAGGGGAATGTCACGTTGTTCCGCTCGGAGTCAAATGTGTTTCATGGGCTAGGGGAGAAGGTGAGACGTTTAGAAGAGGTTGCGTTGCAGGGGGGACATTATGAGTTGCTAGACTATTCGAAGGAGCAGAGAGAGGCTATTGCTGACAGGATTTCTTCGGTTCTAAATGGGCGGCGCGTAGTGGGGTGACACTGTCGAGATTCATAGGCACATTTAAGAACGTGGGTACGTAGCTGAGGATTATATCGGCTTGAATCGTGGGACTAACTTGTATATTAGTATGATTTCCTTTACATCCTTGTTAGTTGTGAAGAAATAACGAGAAGAAGCCTATTTCAATCGCTCTAAACTTCAGGTCTATTCATCTCCCTAGACACTGACGACGTATTATCTTTGACGAGACGGGCGAAGCCCAGCTCCATGCTCTCCACTTTGACTTTCCAATCTTTGGCATCTGACTCTAACTCCGCAATGCTAGAATGGCTTCCACCGCCCTCGGGAAGTGTGGCATCGGGATCCTGCCTGATTCGCAACAAGAATGGTAGCGGTGACGATTTCCAGAGAGGTACGTGCTGTACTGCACTGGATCTCGTACGAACAATGGTACAAATGAAGAAGATCAGCGCCATTGCTGCGACGAGCGCGGGGAAGATCAGCCAGTTCCATCGCACAGCTAAACATGTTTGATCATGCATTACTATTCCTACAGCCGGCTTGTTGTACGGAGGCTTTGCGCTACTTTGTCGTATGTAAGCGGTGATTGAGTCGGAGATGTTTTTGAAGATGCTGTCGATGCGTTCGAAACTCGTGTTGCCATAGTTGTAGATGTGTTGTAACAACGGCGGGCCGCTCAGGGCCTCGATGTTAGCAAAATAATTATCAAGTGAAACTGTGCCGATCACTGAGCCGGTAAAGAATTGTCCCAAAAATTCTAGCCAAAACTGACTGTCAAACAAAGCAAGCATGACGTACACACAACCGTGGACCATCATTGACTCAGGAAAAGGAGAACTAGATGAAAAGTTGGTATAAGAAGGGTTAAATGTTGCGTTGTATGCTAGCCACCGCTGGTTCATATCGTGAGCATGACCACTTTCTGAAAGGTTTTGGCGCTCTTCATCAGAGAGGCAATGTAGGTCGAGTATTGCTTGGAATTGGATGTATGCCTTATCTGAAGGGTGATTAGGATCGAGAGGTGGCCCACTCGAGTCAACGGGAAATTCCTGCGTCCAACCCCATTGTCTTCGGGAAGGATCATCCATCCCAACAAGTTGCTCTTGCAATACGCCTCCTTCAACTTTGGTCTCATAGGTTCGTATACATGGCTCGATCGTACAAGTAGTTGAGCCAAATCCTCTGCAGTAAAAATCACTGTTTTTATGATTCTCGCAGTCGACTGGGCCATTTCCTGTCTTTGGGTCAAACAACTTGAATTGTTGTGCCACAATCATCTCAACGCCGCGAGGGGTATCCCAACGGTCCTGTGAGAACACTCCGTAAGTTCTCATGGCTGTTATATTAAAATCAGTGCCTGGTCCAGAGCTTATGGTGAACGTCGAATTGGAAGTTGTTGTAGTCCTCGTCATGCGATTGAGAAGTGATGAGGACGACGATATATTTTGGGTGAAATTGACCATTGCCCCATTTAATACGACCGAGTCAAGCCCTCTGATCCCTGAATCGTTGGCAGGTACTACTGATTGATATGTGGATAATAGATCACTTGTGTCGGTACAGCTACTGCAGTATGCAACTGTGCTATATTGCTCCGGGAATGTACAATTTGTTGATGGACACAAGGCGTTCATGTTGATACCAGAACCGAGCGCACCATCAGGGACGGCGGCTTGCAGAGCTGGCTCGACTGTGAACCCTGACGCTCCACCAGGGCCATTGAAGACTTCTGGGAGGAAAACATTGGTTCGAGGGACCTCAGCCTGCAAATGATCTATGGCGACTGAGCAAGTATAGTAATGGATAATTTGCTGCCCAAAAGGGTCCACAATTAGGATGAGGAGCGCAATCACGGCACCAGTCGAAGATAGCAAGTTACGTGTTCGTAAATGCCACAATAGCGTAAGGGCCCCAAGAGGACCTCGCGTCGCTGCATCATATCGTGTGATATCCATTATTGGTCTTTCTTCTTTTAGCCAGCTCCACTTCAGCTGGCCGAGCCCTTCGGTGGCAATCGTGACCACCACACCCCTGAGCACGGTCATATAGATAGACAAAAGTGTGTTTACCGTAAGATGATACGGCCACTGGGGTAAAGGCTTCCCTTGATGAGGCCGAAGAGTAGCGACTACGCCAGAAATTGCTAGGATTGCAATAACGCACGCGGCAAGCTCTAACCACCAAGTGCGCAAAGATTGATTAAAAGGATTCACGTGTGAGAGCCTCCTGCCTTCGGGGTGTAGGGACTCTGTTGGCCTGTTATGCGTTCCATTTTCGGACCCCTCTCCTAGAGACATAGTAGATTGAGCAACTTCAGCACTGGTCTCTCGACTGAGGGAGCTAGACGAGTTGACTGATATATTTGTTGTTGCCTGTTGTTCGGTCTCAATATGTAGGGGTTGTGTTGGCTCGACAAGGGGTCCGATATTAGATCGCTCTCCTAAAGACATGGCAGACTGCGGAGGTGGAATAACAGCAGCTTCCTCGTTCGTCCTGACAACAGGTAAAGTGTGCGTGTCAGTTGAGGTCTTAGGCAAGATTTGGCGCTCGCCCTCAATGTTGTCTCTCGACGATACTCGATCTCTGTTCATCTTTGCTAGAAAATAATTGATGTTGACTTGTTCGCGTTTCGAGAAGTTTAAAGAGGGGGACAGCTAATTCATAGTAAATAGATACATAGGTACCCTCGGTGGAGTACTTCGCCTCGTCCAGAATGCGCCCCTCCTAAGGTGCCTTCGACTTGCATATGCACGTTATAGCCGCCCCGTCCAGGAGTCGTCGACTGTCATGAACGCCGCATTCGAGCTTCAAGGATTTCTGCCTACAGCTGCCTTTCATAATCCTGCAGACAATCTTCAATCGAGCTAAGCCGTAGCCTGCCTTGTTCGGAATCGAAAAGCGCGTAAACGTTGCTATTAAGGCTGAGTTGACCGTTGACTTTTGTCCTTCGCCCGATGCAAACTCATAAGCATATCTTTTGACTCTCTGCTATAGTCTCTGGAAAGCTGCGATTGGGCTCAGCAGATCACAACACTAGGTCTGACAATGTAATAACACCGCTAAATCCGTGTGAATGGGAGAGACGTGATCCAGATCGTGACACGTTGCAAGAGGCGTGAACACTTGTTGATATCTTCAACGTGGCAAATCTCGTCTTACTGTTCACACTTATCATTATGCAGGGAACTTGTGCCGTCTTCAGGCTTCATGATCATTTTTCTCGCTCTTCATTCCACATCCCTGAAGAGTTCTTTTTCAATCGTGTAGCTGGAGGGCTGCATAAGCTCACATCTTCCTCAAGACAGAAAGCGTCCCTTTGATGACGACGCACCAAAGTCAGAAAGATTACGGGAAAGTCCAAGATCCGACACGAACGCAGCTCTCTTGTCTTTTCCTTGGTTTTACAATCGGTATCTTAGTCGCCGTCCTCATCATCTCAGCAGCACTGGTGCGTATCCAGATCTACGCATTCGGTATGCATTTACCACACCAAGTTGCAGTTTGGGGCCAGCCCGCATTGTTCGTATGTTGAACCTTTCACCCCTCTCTTGACTTATTATTAGCTGATGTCGAAAGTATCTCCAAAGGGCAGTAAAATGGATTCTTGCCCTGATGGCAGCATATCTGAAAAGTATCGCATGGAAAGAACTCGATCGAAGGTTTGGCTTTGGGCAGCGCGTCGCGGATACCTTGATGCACGCACAGAGCTGGGGCGAAAGCAAGCTCTCCATTACTGTCAGCATGCTTAATGTTTGGTGTAAGATTTGCGCTGACCTGATATAAGGATTACGCTGATTTACCTAGATTTGATAGGAGTTTTGCTCCTCGTTGTCTTGTTGACGATTTCTCCGTTCTTGCCACATCACACGACATGGAGACGGGCCAAAACGATGATCTGTTTCTGGGTAAGGAACATCGCGCGATCGATTAGATCATTGTACATGAAGCTGACCAGGGAACCGCGTAAAACCATCATCTGTTGCTTGCTCTTGACGCTGATTCTTGGCGGGGTCAGATTTCTTTTCGGGTTTAATAGATCACCAAGTAAAGATTTGAACCCATTTTTAAGACCAGAGCACGATGGACACGGGTCTTACAGCATGGACGAAAGCCGTCGTAATCCGGGATGGGGTCCAGTCTCGCTTGAGTGAACTATAATCACAAGATCAAGTTCTTATACCAAGGGTCAAGCTATCGAGCGAAACATAGATGGACTTGTGAATGGACCGCAAGGGATATGTGGGCCGAGACAGTCAAAGGTGGTGCTATGAGTAAATTAGACGTGGAATATATAGCTGTTCAATCCGCGGTTTTACGTCGCTTTGCAGTCAGAAAGGGCAGTAGAGACAGATCTGCTGAGACGAGGACGGGGGCAAAAGTGCACTGAAGTTGCTTGACGTATCATTAATGTTTGGCACCAAGAGCGCACTGAAAGGTCAAAAGGTTAAAAATAGGGATCGTGAGCCATCTGTACCTCGACAGGGAACGGAGATCTAGCCCAAATGACAGGCTTTGAATCTCAAAAAATGCTGCCTCCTTGGGAAAGGTTAATTATCATATCTCGGAGCAGACAACTAGGACAAAGATACTGGAAAGAGATGAGAGCAGGATAATGAGTAGTAAATAATCTCTAGTCTGTGTGAAATTGAAATTTGATATGCGGTTCCTTCCTCAACACAAGCTACTCTTAATGGCCACTACTTACCTACTCACTCACTCACTCAAGGCCATATCCGCCCCGCCCAACTCTCCTTCCTCAAGCACAATCGCATCGCAGTATTCCTCATGATCATACAATCTCAACTTCTCTCTCATCTCCTCTCCCATTCTTCTAGCACAAACACCATGGCAAATCGTGCACTCTCACCCTCTGAGCAGAATCTGGCCCCAAACCTCATCTTTATGCTGGGTCACAAAAGCTAGATTCCATTGCACTTCAACCGCGGGCTCAACATCATTCGCCGACTCTAAAGCGACAGGCAATCTATCAGCCATAAAGAACGTCTCAGTCAATTCTCTCAGCCCGTATCCGAAGACGGCGTAATTGACGAGACAGTTTTGCGCTAATTTCGTATAAGAAGTCTCGTCCATGTCGCAATCTCGGTGGAGCATGTAAACGCTGTCAAATCCGTATCGTAGCCCCAAGGGCTCGAGAACACGGTAGGCTTGTCGTGGTTTTGGTGGAAGGAGTGATGAAAGTGGATTGTGTTTAGGCTAGAAGGAGGAAGTCGACGAAGGAGATACAGTCCTCGAAGGTTGTGAAGGGTGGGGATGGGTCATTGGGGAGTGACGCATAGTAGATTGATTTCGACTCGGTATAGGTGGAGGATGAGGGGCGGAGTAGCATGGATAGGTACATGTTGCGGATGAGCTCGAGAACCATGTTTGAGGCGCTGGAGGAGTTAGACATCTTGCATCCGGTGTGACTTCGACGCTCTTTTGGAATCAATCGGTAAGTGGAACTTGCTCTTGTGATTGCTAGTATACATAGAGTATGAGTTGGATTGAGGATTGATAGGCTAAGGTCTTCGGAAGTAGACAATGCTAGGTCTCCACGTTCTCGAACAAGCCTATTAGTAGGAACGCGCTTCTGCGGAAGAAAATAAATGAACAACGCAATTGTATGGCTCGAACGGCCAAATAACGGAACCAGTAAGTGAGGTGAACAGTCGCATTGTGCTCACCTTTTAGCCTAATCATTGAGACAGGACAAACAAGTGGAAGTCTAAGGAACAATAAAAAAACTGTACTGTAGTAACGGAGCTTATCTGAATGTAGACTCAGCTCGGTTCGATAAAGGCTTTCTATGTATAGTTCCTACCTTGTTTTATATCCTATAAGCCTCAATTCTATAGCTCTCACGCAAATCCATAGTACTTTCTCGCCCATTCCATTAATCCACCAACTGTCCTGCCACGGCGCCAGCAGTTAAGCCTAAGAGCGCAGCGTTATAGGAATGGCAGGGCTTAATCTTCCTCTTGTCTTTCAACACAGCCGATTAGGCCTTCTCCTGGCAGATCTTGCATTCTTTGAAAGGCTCTGATGGTGGCGACATCGTGGAGGATTCCAACGAACCTCAGAAGTAGCCTAGTTGCTTCGATATGAGAATGAGAGAGCGACGGCTGAGATTAGGCCGTGTGGATGATAACTCGATGATGATGACACTACTTGCCGGAGGAGAAGAAAAGCAGGCTATAAAATGAGGATGTATGGAGCTTTAAACCATTGACGGACAAGATGCTTTCATTTTTGTCCCCTCACAAGGCTGATTCTGCTTTACTCCTATGACTATGTTGCTGTGCCGGAGCCTAACAGCCTGCCTACAGCTGGCTTACACTAATGCAGTTTGCCATAATTAGCTTAAGGACCGAGGCTATTCAGCAGCAATTAGAGCCAGTCATCGGGTCATGACCTTGGCGTACGTTGATCACGTTATGACATCGAGGCAAGGCTGAAATGCTGTTGTCTAATAATATTAATAATGTTAATTGAGAAGTAGTCTACAAGATCCCATGCAGAGGCTAAAGTATGTAGAGTGCGAAAGCCTAGCAATGTTGAATAACATATGCTCCGCTTGTTCATAGCTATCCATCGATATATGTACCTGAATATGGCAAAATGCCCTTAGTCAGTGGAGAAACTTCTTATGTATGCTATGATTCGTAGAGCACAAGGTGTCTTCCCTTTATACTCCTTCTCGACGAATACTAAAGAACCCCTAGGCATTTAGAATAAGCTTATAGTTTCATTTACCTGGGTGCAAAAAGCCTAAAATCATTCGCCTTCGGATTCTCAGCCGTCCCTCTAGCTCCCTAATCCGGCGATGGAGGTCTCTCAACTGCAGCGTTAGTCGACTGGGGCCCCCGGGTTCAGCGCTTAGATTGTGACACTAGCCCTCGCGCCACCATTTCTTGATTGTGGTTTTGATCCTCAGCAACAAAAGGATAGAAAGAACCGATAAACCCACCAGGAGGAAGAATGTCTCTACAATTAAGTCTCGACCTCGACCGGTATATAATGTTAAAATCGATGCAGAGTACTAAGCCAAGACGGTTAACATGGCCACATTAGCGCTATCCCCTCGGCTGCTAGGTGCCTTATTTCAGGGGTAAATTTAATTTCATAGTATTTTCGTTTTAACTAAGTCTATATAGTCCTTCCAATACTCCTTATAATTACAAATGCTTACTCTATATATACTATAGCCTTTAATAGTTTTTAGTATTCGTCCTCGTTATTACTAATTTATAGGAGTAATTAAAATATTTAACTATAGTTTATTTAAAACTTTCTAGTTTAGTTGTTTTTAACGAGTATTACGTCTTTTTATAAATCTATATATAAAACACGTTTTTAAAAAGTTTAGCTTAATTATTTAATATTTTTATAGCGAAGTAGAATAAAGTTAAAATACTAAAAAAGCTAAAGTAATAACTTATAGTTCTAACTATTTAATAAGATCGTTTAAAGTAGAAATTATTTATATAAGTTTTAAGTCTTTATACTATAATATAGGTTCTAAAAGGAAATAATATTAATAATATAGCTATTAGTTGCTATTAAGTTAATTAAAAAATAAAAAAAAACTATTTAAGTTTTTTAATAAATTTTTTATATAGTATAATAAGCTCGTAGTTAATTAATATAATTAATATTATTTATATAATAATTATATATATTAATAAATATAAAAATAAACAGTTTTTTAATAGCGCTTTTTTTAAAAAGTACTCTTAATATCTTTATATTAATAGCTATTTTTATAAATTGTTGTTGCTATTGTTTTACTATTTATTTACTACTTTTAATAGTAGTTATAAAAAATATAGTTTTTTAATCTTTCTATACTAGTTATAAGATTTATTTGTTATCGCTAAAAGCCTTATATAATCTCTTCTATAGAAGCTAGGTCTTATACTTTATTCTTATTTTAACGATTTTTAGCTTAAGCCTATTGTTCTTTTCCTTTAAGAGGCGTTTCCTTTACAAAGCAGTTCCCGATTTTGCTTCTTATACTTTACGATTAGTTTTTTAAGTTTTTATAATATTAGCTATACTAAAGCTATTGTATCTAAGCTGTCTAAAAAGCTACACTAATATAAAAAAATTATTTATCTAGATAATATACTTATTAAAAGTATAATAAAAGTATTACTTTATAAGAAACTCTAAAATAATAGTTTAAGTATTAAAATAACCCTATTCCTTTATTTATTTAGAGTTTATATCTTTTAGTCTATTTATTTTTAAATACTATATTTAATTTAGAATAAAATCTTTATTTATTAGATATTATATTTTATATTTTATTAATATTAATTTATTTAGAATATTAATAATATACTTAAACTTCCTAGTAAATTTTATTATTATTTTATTAATAGTAAGGTATATACTAATATAAAAAAAACGTCTAAAAACTATTTTTAAATACTTACTAAAGGGTTTTAATTTATTAAAAACTAAGTTTAACTTCTAAGTCTTACCCTCTAAAATATATAAGAATTGGGTAAGCTATTTAAACTAATTTAAGCTTATTTGCATTATAATATAAATATAAATAAAACCTAGATGTTATTTTTAGTTTTAAAAATTCTTAGCCTTAGTTTTTTAATAGATACTAAGTTAAATTACGATTTTTATATATATTTGAAGCTTATATAGCAATATTAGTTTTTAAGCTTTTATATACAAGGTAGTTTCTAAAGCTTAAATTAAAAATAACTTTTTAGCAGTATATATATTTATAGTATTAACTATAAAGCTAAGTATTTTATTGTTAAAAAATAGGTTAAAAATATTATAAAATTTATTAGCTTTTATATCTCTTAGAATATATCCTTTTCCTTAGGTATATAGTTTTTAAATTTTTATTAGCTAAAAGCGCAGTATCGGCTGGGGAGGAGGGGTTTACGCCTTCAAATTAGTTACTAATAAAAGTAATAGGTCTACTGGTATATAATCTATGTCGTCGGATATTCTATTATAAGGTATAGTTGTTGTAATAGTGATAATAAGGTAAAAAAGCGTGGCTGGAAAATGCGTATAATTAGGGCCGGATTTAAGGCACCTAGCAGCCGAGGGGATAGAGTATCCAATTCAGCAGACGGATAATCTGGTGCGAGATGCTAATGTTATCGCTTGCGCTTAGATCGCTCTAATGTGGGTTCTTTTTCTTTGAGAAGGACCACCACTGAATCATCTAAAGAGTGAAGACTACCGTGCGCCCAAAAGCCTCGAGTAAGAGGCAAAAGCAGAAGATTGTTCCTGCTGAAAGTAATGGATTCTTGGCATAAGTCGCTGCTAGAGATATCTGTAGAGGGATGACCAAGACTAAGACATTGGCAATGGGAAGCCATATTGGAAGTGCTTCAAAGCGTTTAAAATAAATGTAGAGCTGTCAGCGTAGTCACAAAGACGGCCGCGCTTAAAGCGAAAGCTTTGATTGCAAATACTAGGATCCTAGCCACTTGGATCGATTTGTTGAAAATCGCCCATATGACAAGGGACCTAATCTTAAAACCCGATTTTCTCAAGAAAAGAGCGTCGGAACGCGAGACAAGACAAAGACTGTCCACGTCAATTCGAGATTCTAGGGTCACTAAGACCCGCATATGGACCAAACCCTAAACTGGAACATTAATGTCCTCAGTCCTGATCTTGGTCAGCTCTTTACCAGCTTCAATGAGCTCCTTGTCGACGCTGTCTACAATACCTTCGTAGATCTTACTAACGAATCTAGCCTGATACTGCCCAAAGGAGAGGTCGAATTTCACCGACTCGTAGCTCGACTTACCCACGACGTATTTTGCGGTCTCGGCGGTCGTACGGAAGGAAATGACGCGCACTACCGGAGAAATGCGTCTGCTGAGGGCCTAGTATTCGTAATGCGTCATCATGATCCAGAATTGTTGGCCGTCAGCCGCATTCTCTTGGCTTGCCCTAACAATGCCATCGACGATGCCGTAGAGGACTACCTCTAGAGACTGGAAGACCGAGGTTGGGATCATGAAGCCTTTCAAAACAGCTGTGAGAATCTTGGTATGGAGCTCGACTTTCTTGCACTCAATGTGTTTGCCAGACGCGAGTTCAGTCTCTCTGGTTTTGAGGCAGAGTCAGCTCACGCTGTCACGTAGCAGCAAATCATACGAGGGAATAGCTCCCGCTGTCTGGGGGTGGAAGGGCATATGGAGCATATATTTACTCACTTAGAGAACCTTTCAATCCGTTAGCGAAGCCAAATGGGAGTATGGGAGAACAAGCTTTGATTTACTATGTTGCTCCTCTAAACAAGTAATCGAAAACCTTGGACCGATATGTACCTCTTTCCGACATGGCTGCAAACGTATCCTTATCGGATAAATGGCCTCCGTTGATTATCTCCTGGACCTTCCCCTCACAAAGCGAGCTTGTCCATGCTTGCCAGCTTTCTACCAGCTCTTGGGTATGCACAAGCGTTGCGCGGGCCTCCGGGTTTTGCGAAAAGTCATCAGGGAAGTTGATGAAGTGAATGGTTTCGATGTCTTCTTTGGCGCGGGGATTGTGGGTAGCCTCGACAATCTCCTCATTTGTCAAGGACTCTCCCGGAGCCGTTACTTTGTATGGGATAGGAAAGTCTAAAAGTTTTCCGGAGAAAGTCTTCCCGACAGTGTGCTTGTCTTTGCTGAGACTTGCATCATGCTTGCGGAAGCGCCAAAAAGGCTGGCATAGCTGTAGTCTGCCGTGCTTTGATCTATCTCGTGTTAGGCTCTGATCCTGGAATTCTCGATGTGAGTTTGGATTCATGAGTCGGACCTCTTTGTACATCTTCGTCTTCATCTTCGCGATCAAGCCCGTTGGCATAGTGACTCTTGCCAGCATCCAGGACTTCGAAGTTGCCGTTGAAACGGAGGATCATGCTTCTTTCCGCCTTAGTATTTTTTTAAGCGTATTGTTGTCCCAAAGGCTTGCTAGGTCTCTGTACACAAACGTTAGTGGCGTTGAATAAGAACTTGACAATGAAGAGTATGCCTATCATTGCCTTTGGATTTGTTGAACGAACGCTGCGCGGATCTTGAAGCCATTTCAATTTGTTTCAAATGCCAGAGAATACCAAAGCTTCGAGATGGTTTTCAGGTGTAAAGATGTTGTTTAAGTAAGTTTCAGTTTGCGACTTAGAGATATCGATGATCCTGAGATTGAAAGAGAGATATGCAAACTATTTATGGTGTAATTTCACCGCCAGGATTACACCGTGATTTTGCGAATCCTGTCAATTCAACTAGCAGCTGCATGGCTTCGACGGTAGCAAGAACTCTTCAACCAGTCAGAGTAGTTCAGTGAATCATAGACATCTCAAGAGCCACATAGTTCAGCTGGCTTGGAGCTGTGACATTTCTTTGCGAGCCAGTTGATGTGTAGGCTTAGGTTGCGTGAGAATTCAGGCAAGCTAACAGTATGTATTCAGGCAAGCTACCCATAAGTATTTAGGCAAACTATAGTCAGGAGTATCTTGATGGCGCCAGATAATGAAGAAGGCATTGATGCATTGCATACGTGTGTTCCGAAGACGGACTAGTAAGAAATCTCCCTCTTAGGGTGTCTACCGACACTACATTACTGCCCGTCTAGTCCATATATCGCCGAGTATGTTGAACAAAATAAGTCCGCCATACACGAGGATCACTTCCGTAAAGGTTTGCCTATATTGTCCACGTAATAGCTGCAATGTTCCGCGGTCACTCCCGTTGTCTTGCATGAATAGCGACTGTCCGTCAGCGACGATGGCGGAGCCCGCCGATCGCTTATGCAAGTAAGACATTGTGGGGGAAGGGCCGAAAGGAAAGGCCTCCGTCCATGTCCGGACCATTTGTAGCTTGGTAAGAATCAGGCAGGAGAAGAGAATGCTGCACATTCGAGACGACTCTAGATCCTGTCGAGAAAGTTGTAGGTCGCCTATATATCCTGCATTCCAAAGGCACCGAATACTTGGGGCCTGCAATTTCCCGACAAAAGGTCGGTGAAGAATAACAAGCCCACCGCTCCCTTGAGCACTTGAGCATTGTCTTCAAGACATGTTCACAATGTAAAGCACAAGGCGCGCGGCAAGTCCAAACATCGTCCGAAACATCGTCCGATAGATGTCATTCTACATTAAATCAATGTGCTAGAAGCCTCGCTACCAAACACGGAGTTCATGGAAAGCATTCACATCCGCTAAATGCATATATGCTCCGGAGACTAGGGAACGACATCCATTTATATGTTGTGCCGCCTAAAAGTAATAACTTACTGAATCGGGTAATTTCTTACCAAAATCAGGTGTGGCATACATGGCTTGAACAACTCCCCACCAAAGTTCGATTACATCTGACTTTCCAGCCTTACAGGAGCAGGAATGCTAACTATTCCCTTGATTAGAATCCCTACATACCGTGAAATTGATCAGGTAAAACATTTCATTTAGGCGGCATGATGTACCCCACACTGTCAAAAGAAGATGATGGTACAAATAGGCGCTGCGGCCTCACTAGCGAAAAAAGTTCTAGCATAGATCTGCTTTCAATCAAGCCCGACACACCCTTAATATCTCCCTTTTATGACTTCGGCTCATAGCACGCGAGGGGCTAATCAAACAGTCGCCAGATTAACAAATCTCCTCCGCTGTTATTGATAACAAGACTCATCCTTCAAGTTCGTGTAACGAGTGTAGGAAAAGTCTCTCTAGACGCTCATCTAGGTACACTTCAACCATTGCCATCCATTCGCAATCTCAATAGAGCCTTAAATAGGCCTTTTCTTTCGCCCTATATCGCAGGTTTCACATACCCCTGCCCTTGCCTCCTTTTTTAATCAATGGACCCGTAACTTCTCGAGGTCTACTAGCAGGAAGTACCTGATTCAGAGCTTTGCGTGGAGGCAATTTTCGTATATGCTCTGGGAAGCGAACGTCTTCGCCAGGCGCAGGTGCACTACACAGGCTCTCGTCAGCACGTCCTCTGTCACTCGATTCGCTCGACACGAACCCATTATAAGTCATTCCAGCAAGCAGATCTCCACGGTCATTAAAGCATGCATTCATCATCAAGAAAGTGCCGCTAGCTGGCAAGAACAACTGATGCTGGTGGGCCAGAGCATCGATCAGATTGTTTTCCACACTCCCGAGATCGCTGGAGAACCATGAATCAATGTATGAAGATATCATGGTCGTGTAGGTGCCCCAATCGATGTCCCAGTCCATGCCGGAATTGGAGTTCTCGGTCGTGATCGTACATGGGCTCTGTCCAGAGGTTGGCGAGATTACGGAGATCTGTAGTCCCCCATCGTTGACGGCCGCAAGGGCAAGCTTCAGCGTCCAATTGACGTTGATGGTAAAGCTGACGGGTTGGTCAGGCGCGAGTGAGAGGAAGGCCCCACGTGGGATCTGTTTGCACTCACCTCGACTCCGTCTTGAAAGGTCCGGACATCATTCCCGTTTGGTGAACGGAGAAGACGAAGCTGTTGGACCCAGTCATGGTCATCCCCTGTCCACCGGCGTCAAACACTAATTTGGAAGACGCTTGGCCTGTGATTCAGGATCAGTATGAGTTGCCAGCATGTCAAGTCCGGGCAGTGCCTTACTGGTTTGTCCAACCGTCAGGTCACTCAGCGCTCCATTGACACCGGCTTTGTCCTCACCATTGCATGTTAGCTGGTCGCCTGACCAAGTCCATACAGGCGGATCAGAACCCGATGGCTTGAAATTGAAATATGCGTCACCTGAGTTTGGGTGCGAATTGTTGAGCCCGACGGTAAGGCGAGGAGCAACCTTACAATCCCCAGATTTGTCTGTCGAACATACTGGCGCTGTTGGTTGGATCTCTGTGATCCGATTCAGATCTGTAAGTAGAGGCAAAAGCCAGCCTGCCCAGAATTGAGAGGTTTCCATGCACAGCATACCGTCTTGACCTGGCGTGTCGTTCACCCAGGTCCCTGTAGTAGGTAGCAAAGCAGGGTTGGGGGGTGCAGCGTTACCCGTCATCATGAGATAGCATAGAGCGTTCTGATCGAGACCATCTGCGGCTTGCGGCGACGTGACTGAGGGGTCGAACCATGGATAATTGGCAAGATCCAGTGAGGTTGGCGGGAATGTGGGTGCAATCTCATTCACTGCATGTATAAAGTCCCGGTCAGTATGAAGTATACCAGAGACTTTGGGCTTTGGCCTGTGTTCGTACCGGTAGTTGGCTGGGTCGTCTGCAGCGTAATTCCCATCACAGTCTTCCCCTCGGCACTCATCAGGTTTACCCAGTTATTGACGAAGTCCTCAAAGCCTGCTTGTATTGCTGGCGTTTCATTCGCCCACACCGTAGTGCCAAACTTGCTCAACTGTTTATCCCAAGCTGCCGCAGCTTCGTTCCTTGATAAGCATGCTGCAACGCAATGATGATCTAAGTCAACTCACAAGAGACATCGATAAGAAGTTGTGCGAGTGTGAACTCGCCAGCTGGATCACCCATCCTATCCTTGTAGGATTGATATTTTGGATCCGAATCCGCGACCGGAACGTTACCTGAATTCAAAATTGTCGGTTTCAGTGAATGGCGGAAGTTGATATTAGGCAAATACTTCCCGGGAAGACTCACCTAGACTCACCGGGAACACAAACACCCAGCCGGTCATGTCAAAATCCTTCATTGTTTTATCATTGGGATCAGTGCTCTCGTACAATGACATCGTGCCCGAAGAGAAGTTCAGGGAAAAGTACAGCTGCGGAAATAAGGTCGTAACATGGAGCTGTATGGAGGGGGCGTTGAGTTGCCCGATCATAGACTGTCCATCGCGCGTTGTTTGGCTGAAAGAGCGGATGCTTGAAGTAGGAGGCGCGAGTAGCCACATGTTCTTGAAACTGTTGTCGATACATGACTGACTCAGTACCAGGAGTTGATGGTAGGGCTCCGGACTGGTCTTTTGGATCAAGCTCTTTGTAAAGGCGTCTCCCATAGTGACAGCTGCAATTATAGTATGTGAGATCAGAGTAGTGCTTGGAAACTTGGATCTAGAAGGCTGATTAGAATGAGCAAGAGGGTCGTGAGCATGAAGTTACAACAAGGAGATACCTTTTATATCTCTTTGGAGGCACCAAGCACCATCACGAACGGTCCAATATCGCCGATCATCGTACACTCTCATGATAAGTAAAGTGCGAGGACATGTCTACTTCTCAAGCCTTTGAGTCACGGATTGTCCAAACCAGGATATCCATTTGGATTAGGGCATACTATCAGCTCTGTTCTGAACCGCCACTTGGTGTGGTTGATCCTCACCATGGCTGGCTGGGTCTAGGACATGAACGCCAACTTTACTTCGTATCTGTGTAAGGTACATAGGTCGGCAGAGCCGATGTCTCTAAGTCCCGCGGAGCTCTTTCTTGATCGGGCTCTTACTAGGTGGCACGTTAGTACTACTTTGTGATTCAGCCGATAAAGCGACAGCATGGCTTGACGTGGGAGTAGGTCTCGACACTGATTTGTAGCATCGATAGTGGAACCAGCATGCCACCAGAAAGTAGACCATTTGGTGCCTGCTGGACGAACGAGAACTTGACCCCCTTTTCTTCGGGCTTCGAACATGTCGGCTAGGTATCAAGTGGCGTTTGAGACAGAGCTGATGATAGACTAGGCGTCTCTCAAATAAGTTGTTGGGTTGGAGACATGCGTAAGCCAGACGTCGCAACTGGTGTTAGTGCGCTCGCTTCGTCGGCACCGGTCCTCGTTGGGTACTGCACGTCCTGCTCATCGAGGCGGTAGGGTTGTCTTTTTTGTGCAAGGAGACATTCTCGGCTAGCGCTAGCAAAGGGCTTTTGGTAATCTAGTCAAGTTCATGAATGTGAAATCGAAGTGGCGCTGTCATGTCGAGCTGGCAGATTGTGACAAGATGCATGTAGGCGTACAATGAGTGGCTTGCTGCAGTTAGCACGTGATAGTGATACACGTGCATGATCCTGAAGGAGAACACGAGGGCAGAATCCGTCAGCTGCCGGAAAACAATCTGACGTGGCACCGGAGAATGGTGGGAGTGGCGTTGTCGGCTTGAGCTGAGGCGACGGACTTATACCCGTCTCGGAAGATCTTCTAACCGTCTTGAGGAAGGTACAGATAAATTTACCCGTGGGCTACACCGCATTTGTATTAGTACATTCAAAAGAGGACTCTGAGTCGGTCATAGTGCATATCCTCAGCTGAGCCATTGTCATTTGCTGGAAGCTCCAATGCAGTTCAGCCATGTCCTCGGTGGAAGGCTGCTGATCGAACGCAAGGAAAGATAGGCCGATAGCTACCGTACCCACTGCTGAAATGAGTATTTCATCGGCAGTGCTGCCCCGTCTTGTGGATAGACAATCGGTCAGTTGAAATCAAGAATCAAGATATCTACTCACAAGTATTGAGGTCCTCACCTACCACAGGTCACCACAATGATCACTATCCAGCAAGATGCGGAGATGATGACCAACCTCATCTCTGCCAACCCTGTCCCCGCCGGTAGCAGATTTGTCGCCATCAAGGACGAGAACAGCATGCCAGCAGTCTTTGCGCTCGGCCAAGATAAGAAGCTGAACCTCATTGTAAACATCGCAGGCGTACCGACCCTTGTGGACTTCGGCAGTGCATGCAATATAGCCGGCACTATCTCTGCTTTCGATGTTCGCCAGGATACCAACCTACGAATTCATGTTGCCGTAGCTTCTGTACTTGATAACGGAAACAATCAGCTCACGGTAGCCTTTGATCTTGACCCTAGTCAGCTCGGCAGTACTGCGGACGTCCCGTTGGTCAAATCTACGGTCACGATTCCAACCGTTCATGCCATATTCATGGTGAGCATCTCGTGCCAAGTATACAGCATTGGATGCTGATCTGATCCGAGAGCGATTTCAGTACGACCATAGGAACACATCAGATTCCGCTCATCTTCCTGGCTTTTCAGCCTACCGATAGAATTGCTCAAGAGGACCAGCTCGGTTTCGTTGACGTCAGCGCCAATGACGATGGCTCGCTCGCGATAGCTCTCGATACGCAATGGCGATTGTCAACTAATCCTCTTCGGATCCTGGATGTTGCCTTCATCTCTGCGCCAATCGGCGCTGGTGCTGCAATACTATACCAGAGCGATGCCGAAGGCGACCTCAAGTTGCAATTCAAAACTTTCAGGGACAATGTCTTTACTGTCCAGACCAACGCCCCACCTGGTAAGCGTTCGCGGATTGACGAGGTCCTTCTTGTTACTGACACAGTCCTGTAGACTCAACCTGTCTGGCGTCTTACTTTGATGTTAATGCGGGGAGCTCCGTGCTGGTGGTGGGAGGACAAGGCGTCACGACTTTCGCATATGCCGACTATACGTCTTCAACTTCGCATGGCAGCCCACTTCCCGGTTCTTTTCCACCAGGATTGCTTCTCAAGGATGTACATGTTGCACAGACCCCTACCGACTTCACAATGTGGTTCACATCTTCGGCTGATGGCGTATACTACTTCTCGGCTTCCCTTGGAAACATCGCGTCAGGTACGTTGACGAGACTACTTCCGGATGGTGCTGGCGGCCAAATCTCCGGTATCCTCAGCGCCACTGAAACGCTTGGAGGGGCACTACTCAACACGCTTGTGTCCGTCAACGAAACAGGTGATCTGTCGCTTCTGCAGCAAGGTTCTGACACTGGAATGTGGGAAGTGCAGCCCTTCTACGCGCCCTCGAATACGAACAATATCTCCGTGCAGTCTTTCACGGTCCGTCTTCAAGCTAAAACGGACGCTACGACAAAAGATGAATCCGTAATGAAATGCCAGCTCTTCTTGCAGAGCTCAGGTGCCGTTCAAATCACAGCTAACGGGGTGGTCACGCTCCTCAGCCAGGCTGGCGGGTGGTACACGACGGATGCGAACGGCACACTGACAATTGTCATCTCGACGGCTGACATGTCGTGCCATACCGTACAAGTGCAGCAGTTTCAATCAGTTAGCGGCGCAACCCAATCCATCAATTCACCGATTCTCAATCCTGCAAGCAAAGTGCTCCAGAATCTCAAGTCCGTGACAAGCGGTGATGACTTGCTCAATGCTCATATGCAGGATGGGAAGCAGCTTATACCACCTGGAACAGTACAGAAGGGTGATGCAGACAACGTTGCAACGTATATGCAACAATTGGTCCGCACTCAGACCCAAGCGCAGTTGTCTGTTGGCCCGTCGGCGGCTCGAAACAAGAAGACGACGACGGCGGGTAAAGTTGGTGCGCTCTCGGGTACACAAGCCGCCGTAGGCCAGGACGGCGATGAATGGGGCTGTTTCCACTTCCTTTACGTGATGGCTGAGGACGTGAAAGACTGGGTTGTATCAACAGTCGGTATGTAAAAACTATAACGCAACAGTGCTGCAGCTACTAATGATCTCGCCCAGACGGCGTTTGGCAAATGGTTCTGACCTTCGCCGGTGAAGTCAAGACTTTTGTTCTCGATACAGTCGAAAAAGTCGGCAAAGCAGTGAGTTGGCTTATGCAAAAGATCAAAGTCGGTATTGAGGATTTTATCACCTGGATCGGCATGTTTTTCGATTGGGGCGACATTTTGCAGACCTCGAAGAGTATCGCAACCTTTATGGATGTCGGGCTCCAATATGGCGCGTCTCAGGTGGCTTCAGTCCAACAGCAGGCCGATGCGTGGATGAGTAACCTTCGCACTGCGGTGCAGAATAAATTACAGCCAAGTAACATGGCCACCAGCTCGAACAACGTTGACACTCAGAGCACGACGACCTCGCAGCAGCTGCAGCACGGAGTTGGCTTTAATTGGAGCATGTATCAAATGCATCATGGTGGCTTTGCCACGCAAGGCACGGTCGGTGCAGTCTCTGATAAGGCAGATGCCACCCCGAAAAAATCCAGCAGCCCCATCACCCTAGAGGACATCTGGGCCTCGTTGCAGGTTGAGATCAGCAAGATTGAGTCGGATGTCCAGAACATTGCTAATGACATTCAAAACCTGCTGACCACCAAGACTGATACTGATCAGATCTACACCAAGTTGGGGAGTGATTTGATCACGACAGCTTTGGACACAATGCAGGCCGTTGTTGATACCATCCTAGAGGCTCTCGAGCTCATTCTTCAGAAATTGGGCGATGTCAGCAGCAGTGGGATACAGGTACCTGTGTTCTCCGCTCTGTGGAGTCTCATTACTGATGGGGAGCAATTTTCCGTCATAAATTGTCTCTCTCTCATCTTAGCGGTTCCCACGACCCTTCTATTCAAGACAGTCACAGGTTCACCACCGCCCAATCTGGCGAACCGACTGACCGTGGAAACGTTCGACGACTACATCAACGGCAAACCGCTGACAGATGCCACACTTGCTCGAGATATCGCTGATTTTGCGGGAGCCACAGTCGTCGGTTTGACGTACGTGTCGATGGAGCTCACGGTCATCACGTTCGTAATAGACTCTGTCGATCCTGTGTCCGACTTCAAGACACAAGCTCTGGTAGATGCCAAGCTGGGTGTTGGTCCTGTTGCGGGAAACGTTATTGACTCGGCAACACTAATTTTGGAATCTCTGGGGCTTTTCTTTTCCTGGCCTTTGAAGTTTGGTGACGACCAAAATCTTCGCTGGGGTGTGAGTAGCTTTTCACTCTAATGCCCTCCTGTGTAAAAAGCACATTGCTGATATTTCACCAGTCATGGGGGTTGGACTGCAGCAACGCCGCCGTCTTGGCCGTCAGCAGACTCGTAGGCCAAATTACGGGTATCCCACGGATTGAAACGAAGCGGATCGTGGGCTCCTACGAGGCTATCAGCTCGATCCCTACCTACATCCTTGAGATCATTGTCGACGTCCACGAGCTTGACTTACCGGACGGGAACCCGGAAAAGGATGATGGTCTTGTCGACCGTCACATCGTGGAAGAGACATTCACCATGATATCTGCCTGGTCCTTTGGCGCTGCGGCGCTTAGTGACGGCAATCAGGACGAAGTGACTGCCGTTGCGCTGGTGGTCATGGGGTTGAGCATGACTATCACCTACGCGATGAAATTCACGGATTTCTGGATATCCCAAACTGACAAGACGACTGCGGTCAAGAGGGTGGTGGAGGGTACTAAGAAGGTCGTTCAGCAGAAGGAGACTAAGCATTCAATGAATGGAGCGGTGGAGAAGTCTCCCAAGTAGAAGGCATCTGATCTAGTAATAGGGAAAAAATACCTTCAGGTGGGGAAAAGAGGCGTTTGTAAACGAAGTCTCCGAGCTTAACTCGGAAATTGTTCTCAGCAAAACTTGCGTGATGATTGAAAGCTCGGCCACTGGGCTGCTCTTTTATGACCTAATCGGGCGTAGCGCAGCTGCCCTGCTTCTATATTATAGATTAATCCATTCGAAACGCAATACAATCAAGCGCATATGAGCAGGCAGAGTATGTTATCATTATATCTGAGCAAGTGAAAGCCGACTACAACAAAGCCTCAGCTGGCTACAACGACTACAGCACCCTCCCTGGCGGAACGCGCAGCTACGAGAAGCTTGAGGGTCTGCATAGTGATATCGTCTCCGCAGATCTTGCCCTGCCAAGATAGGATAGTGCATGAAGTAAAGCAACTGACACGCAGACTTGCGAGGAGATATAACACGTACAAGATCTAAGCAGCGAAGGAGACCTTGATGCTGCCGACGACATATACTTACGTCAGTATATCTGAGTTTGGAACCGGCACAGCGTCTTGGTGTTTCACCCCTGGCTTGACGTAGTCGTATGACGGAGCGCACATTATCCGATGATTTAAACTGGCTGCTCAAGCTTGATGATTGTCACAAATGAGCATTGTTGTAGAAGCCAGCGTGGACGAGAAGGGCTCACAGCCTCCTAGGGCGTAGGATGGGAAGAAGCCATACTTGTTCAGGCATCCTCTCACGATTTGGATCCTGCTGGCATTGAATCTCATCTTCGCACATTTAGTTCACAGTCGCGACAAGAATCTTCAGCATTTCCGAGCACATGGACGAGTGAAGCCAGACTCTGGAGCAGGAAGCACCTTGCCGAATTAGTCGTGGAACGAGGTTCATTATAAGCTGAGGAGTTGGCTTTGCGAATTGCTAACAAGAATCCTCTTGAAATAGGCTAACATGTTTTCTATAGATCACTCTAGAAGAGCGGCTGCTTTATTATAAATGCTTTGATCTTTGCAATGTACATGCCTTAAAGTTCCCACGGACTAGTAGAGCACTAACGCGGACGCACCTGTTGGGAGCTTGGCAGTCGCAAGACATCCGAGCAAGATAACTGTCACCTATCCTAATTATAGTGGAGCGTTTTAGCTCCAAGTCAGCGGGCTAGGGGCAAGCGGTATCGAGTTCATTCGGAAACATAGGAAGGCGGTCTAAGACTTTTTCGACTCTAATGTATCTCCATCTAATGCCCTCAACTTTACTGGCCTAAAGTATTTTGATATCCTTACTATTAATGCCTGCGGCATTAGTAATACAACCCCCAATGCTGACAAACTTTCCAACACCCTTAGATAGGGAGGCTTGGCTACTTGAAGAGACGGCTGAACGCAATTTAGAAGCTTCTTCCGCGTCTTTGTCGAAGCTATGGGCTAGGGCATATGCGCTTGGCCAAGGTTGTTCAGATAGGCTTAAGAATAGTACTGAGGATGTGGACGGATTGGCTTTCTACATGAACACGATGCCATTGGTCACCGATATTGTCGCTGTCATTGAGAGGCATAGGCAATCGCGAGACGAAGAGGCTCGGCGACTAATTAAAAAGCAAAAGCTAAGTCTGACTGAAAAACAGAGCTCGGCGATACTTCGAAGAACAGTATGGAAAAGGAACAAAGAGCAGCTTCATATGTGGGGTTTCTTATACGGGACAATCGTTAGAGCAGGAAAAGGTCAAGAGCGTATATTAGTCCCTCGTCGAGAGTAATACTCGGTAGCATATATAAAGTCGACTTCAAGAGTGAAAGAGCCGATTATCGCGTGGGTAAAGACCTCCTTCGCTGTCAGCAACACGCACTGCTTCAACTGGTATTGCGGAATCGATAAGAAGGCCACTATATATTTTCAACGTGAACGAAACTTTCAAAGAATGCCATACACTCGGACCCCTTTTTTGAGGGATAAGGTCACGTATGCTATCAAGAAATTGAGACTCTAAAGCGATGAGGCACATGGCTGTTAAGATCTAACGATAGGACAATAGGCTGGGAGAACGAAGGGGACATATATTACAGTACGTTGGGTGAGCGCAGTGCGGTGATATGCGAGCAATATGTAGATTCCATAGCGCAGTCATTCAGCGAAGTGCTAGACGTCTAAACCTACTTAACCTAAGGTTTAGAAGAACCTAATTGCTAATACTTATAGATATAGTGTTACTTGACTATAGATTTATCTTTTACCTATATCCTTTTAATTCCACCTAGAATTAGTACTACCTTATACTTTATATAGATAATACAACGCGCTAAGGTTAAACATTGCTTACTATACTAAGTATAAACATTATATCTATAATACTAGATAATATTATAACTTAGATTAATAAATATAAGGTCTTAGAGACCTAATTATACTAGGCAAAAGGGCGACAACCCGCAAGCCAAGTGTATTAATTAATGCGCAGCAGGTTATACTCTTAATACTATATTATAAATCTATGTTTCTAAGTACCTAAAGTGTATAATACTATAATAGCTAGCTATAATAATTATGTTTTTATATCCTTTTATAGTACCTTTTCTTCCTTTTTCTAAATATTTATTGTTATTTCTAACTTCTAGAATACCTATCCTATATATTATTAAAGCCCTTAAATCTAACCCTAATTTTATACGTTTTCTAGCTATACTTTTTTTCCTTTTTTTTACTATTATAACTATTATACTATATAATAAAGTATCTAATAACATAGACTATATATTATTAAACTTAAAGCCCTTATTACTACCTTAATTAAAGTAATAACCCCCTCCTCTATAGCCTTTACCCCGCTATAATATAATAAAAATTAAAAAACTATATATCTCTAGAAAAAGCTAGCTATAAAGGTTTATAGACGCCTAAGACTCTTATAAAATCTTTAGCTTATTCTTTACTAATAAAATATTTTAAATTATTATTAATAGTATAAATATCTATATTATAAATAAAATATTTTTAATATATAAGTTAGAATTTACCCTATATACTTAGGCGTAAAACCTTATTAATACTAATAAACTATATATATTCCTAGGAATTATTATATAAATAAGTATTTATATAAAGACTTAAATAATAAACTTTTAAAACTAAGATTAAAAGTATAAACTAATTTATTAGAAAATAATATATTATATAAGTTAAAATTATTTCTAGTAACTTAATTAATTTCTATATATATTAAAATTATTTAATAAAGACTTAGAATTTATCCTTAAAAAGCTAGATTTTTTAAATAATTATTTTAAGTAAGTTTTTAGGCATTACTAATATAAAAAAATATATTTAAGCGTTAATAAGTCTATTACTAGATTTAAAAGTAGATTTATAGATATTATTAATATTTTAAATAAATTAATACTAAAAGAATATAAAATATAAATTCTAGCTAATAATAACTATATCCTAGATTAGCTATAATATTCTAAGAAAGATAAACTATTAGAATTATACCCTACTTAGACTAAAGAATAAAGTTATTCTAATACTTAAGCTATTATTTTATAACTTATTTTATAACTTCACTTTTAAAAAACATTAAATAAATATATTATCTAGCTAAATAACTTATTTATATCTTTATAATTATTATTTTAGCTAAAATAAGATGGTTTTAAAAGGGTAGGGACTATAAGAATATAAAAAACTAAATAAAAGGTAATAAAAGAAATAGCTAGTATAGCCTAGTAAAAAAAGTAATCTTAAAAGGAAAAGAATTATAGCCTATAATAGGGGATTATAAATATAAAACTAAAGTATAGCTAGTAGTTTAAGTAGGGCTAGCTCTATAAAGTAATTAGCGAAGAAAATAATATCTTTTAATTTATATAAATAGATAAAGCTATTATCTTATTTATAACTATTATTTATAATAAGAAAAAAACTATATTATATAAGTAGCAATAACTTATAAAAAGTATTATTAATATTAAAATCTCTTACTTTATCTTTAGTAATAAGTTTATTAAATAGCTTCTAATCTTTATACTAATTAATAAATATAACTATTATATAAATAGTATAAATAAAGCTAATTAACTTTAATTTTATTTCTTTATATAGTAAGTATAATATAAGATATAAATTCTTTTATTTTATTTCCTCTTAAATATTATAGTAATAAATACTTATAAGATTAATATATTTATAACTAGAATATTATAGAAAAAAGTTAATTTATTATCTTTTTATAAGTATTTTTAAATTAAGTTAATAAATAAATTAATAAGCTTTATAAATAAATACCTAATTAATAGGCTATTATTTAAAAGCTAACTTTATCTTATATTACTATAAAAATATTAAATAATTAAGCTTAAACGCTTATTATTATATTTTATATATAGGATTAATAAGAAAAAGTAAATGGATTTAAAATAAATAAATAGAAAACCTTTAAAGAAGCTTATTCTAAATTTAGTATTTGAGCAATAGTAAGGTCAACTCCTAAGAACTACTAAAGGCTATAGTATATATAGAATCTATATATATAATTATAAGAAGTATTAAGAGGATTATATAAAGTAATTAAAAGCAAAACACTATAATAAATAAGCTTACCCCTAAAATAAGGGTCCTAGCTATTTATAAGATACTTAAATTTTCTCTATTATATATAATCTCTAGCCAACTTTAGGATCATATTAACCCTGCTCTCCCTTCTAACCTTTGCGCTCCCTTCAAGCCTACCTCTATTACCTAGCCCCTAAACTAACACGCCGCTACTACCGCCACAACTATAATAGTACTTTCTCCTCTTCGCTTTAGCTGGCTCCAACTCTTCCTACTCCCTTTGCACTAGGCGACTAGGACACTATTATCAAGCTAAAGACGACTGTTGCGTCTCTGCCTGACTCCATTTGTGCGGCGTATTTAACGCTATTTCTAAGCAGCACGCCACCTGCTGCGGCACATAGATTTTGGCAAGGCTTTATGTTACTGCTTTTCAAACGCTCGCGCCTGATCCTGAAATTAATATCTACTTGTTTGATGACGGACTGTGCAGATGGGAGAGTATTGAGGAAGCTATGTACTTGAACTTTAGGAAGGATCGGTAGAGAATACTAATGTTTTTCCTACTGAAGTGTAATTATTTGGAGTCTAGAGACGCAATAGAAGATATGTAGAAGGACAGGCATAGTTAGTTCATAGGGCGGCTTTCGAAGGGATGCTAATAGTACCTAGACATACATAATATGTTAGTGGTGGCTCGGATGTAAAGGAAGGGTGATTACACGAACAACCCAAGTCTCTGTTAAAGGAATGAGGGGAGTCATTGCACTAGGCTCTCCAAGACTTCTAGGTAAGCGTGTTATCCCGTAGGAATGATGTTAAAGGCTCTCCAGAGAGCGCGAGGGACTGTGCAAAGAGAGTGGAAACCATAGTGTAATGTAGTCGTCAATGTAGTCCTCGATGCTAGTGGGGTATCAATATGCACGCTCGTGGGGTATCGCAGAACCAAAACCTCTAAAACCTCGTCCATCTCATAATCCCACCCTATGCACGCTATGCAGACTTTGCAAATCAAAGGACAATCCCTTACCATGTCTCTACCACCTACGCAATCTCCTCAGCTCTCCCCATATCCCTCTCCCCACCCTCCTTCTTCTCACTTCCCCCTATCATCTTCATCTTCTTGTTAGCATCCCCCTCCCTCAACACTCCCTTTCTCTTCCTCTTCTTCCCACCCCTCTCCCTCTCCTTCTCCCCCTCATCCCTCCCTTCCTTCCCCTCCAAAACCCTCGCATGACCAAAATCCACCAACGTCAACCTCTCCTCCCTCGGCTCCCACAAGAAATTCCTCGGTTCTATGTCCCCTTGCCAGACGCCCTCCTTATAAGCCTTCTTCACCAACCTCAAATGATCGTTGTTTTCAAACGTGTCGATCGCTTCGCCCGCATACGATAGCAACAACATGAAACAGATCCTATCGACACCGCTCCAGACCGAGTAAGGGAATCTAAGGCCAAGGGTGCCGAGGCAGACGGGGATGGCATCGCCTTGGAGAGAGGAGAGGCGGTCGTAGAATTGGCATTCGGCGACCAGGGCGTAGACGAGTTCGGGGATTGTGCCTTTTGCGACGAGCACGTAGCCGTGCGAGAAGAGGCAGAGCTTGAACAGGTAGCCGGTGGCGCCGTGGGGGATTGGGAGGAGGTGGCACCCCCTGTCGAGATCGCGGTCCAGTTCTTTGTGTAAGCGGTTGATGAGTTGGGACGCTGTGATGCTGTGGTAGAGAGAGCGCGTCGGTCTGTCATGGGGAGACTTCGTTGGGCGATGAGAGGCGTAGTTTGGGCAGTTGGGGTCGAGAGGGGTGGAGCGAGCGAGACTGAGAAGGCAGAGGCGCGAGCAGTATGGGCGCTGGGAGGTGGGAACATGGGCTTCCTTGCCCTGGCGCTTGGATTGCGGAGGCTGTTTCGTCGTGGCCGGTGCTTTGGACGTAGGGAATAGGAGGCGTTTGGTCGGCTGACGAGTTGGAGTCATGTCGTCATCACTATCATTGTCGGTCTCGCTGTCGCTTGAATCGGCTGCTGCGAGGGCGGGATTCTTGCACCCTTGCTGCATTGACCGAGTCTTTCTTTGCTCGACCGGCGTCTCCCCGCCGCTATCATCGTCGTCATCATCGTTGTCATCATCGTTGTCATCATCGTTAGCATAATCTGACGGCGATGTGGTTGCATGGGTCTTGACGGTGGATGGCATCTCTTTCAGACGCTCATCGTCTATGAACTCCCACTTGAAAGTCTGGGCTCTCTTCTGCCACGAGTGAGAGTGTTCTTGAGCTCCGGCCGCCAGAAGGCACATAGCTAGCAGTTGCGCGATGGCTGTACCATGATAATGGAAGCCTGACTGAGTACTGGCGGGCATTAGGATTGGTGTCGTCAAATGATAGCGAATAATTGTAGGCTGATCTTCAGGGATTTGCAACCATATGTAGGCTTCTCCAGTAGTGATATACCCGAAGCGAAGTTTGGCTGACACCATTGCGTCGAATGCTTGTGTGATAATCTTTGCCACGATGGTCTCTGCATATTCCGCAAATTTCTCCTCTTTGTCAGTAGGGTATTTGATTCGCCGAAGAATTACAGTTGTATCTATCAGATGCAATCCGACTTTGAGCAATTCGATTGAGACCTTGTGTGGTGGCTTGAATTCTGCACACAGTATGAGTTGCTTGTGCCCATCAATCTCTCCACGGACGACCTTTTGATCAATGTCACGGAACGTTGGTTTGGTCGGAGTTGACGTCGTTGCATTTGAAGGCAACGTTAGTTGGGAGGTGTGGCCGAAGGGTGCAGATGCACGACTTCTGGGTTGGGGTGGAGTCTGCGGCATATTTGCTGTTCCTTGACCTCGACTATAAGCTGAGAGTGTATTGGTATGGTTCTCAAACGTAATGGCTGACAACCCCTTCAGGCCTTTCCGTACGCCTATGGGCAATGTACAAAGAACTGCAAGGAAATCCGTAACGTGGGACTGCACTGCGAATTGCTCCCAGAAGTCCATGTCTTGCTCACTCCCGAGAGCCTTTCTGATATATTGACGGGAAGTCTGAATCGCATGGATCGACTTGAAATGGCGCTTAGGGGGCCCTTTGCTGGGTCGGAAAATTTGAAGAACTTTGTCTATCTGCTTGTTGAGGAGTAAGGGTAGTTCTTTGCAAGGCTGTATAAGCTGCGGTCGATACTTTGACGTGACATCGGACACGCCGCCTCTAGTGCTATGTTCTTGGTCCCTGACCGTAAGGGATAGCTGCAAATGATCATGGCATAACTTCAGACATTCCTCAATGGTCGTGGGCTGCACCTCGACGGTAGCATGTCGCAGCTCGAGCGTAGCATGTTGCAGTTCCTCTCGCGCCCGCTGCGCATCTGCACGATCGGTGCGACTGCTCTGCTCAAGTTCTTCTATCTTCTTGCGAAGAAGCGTCGTCTCATCCAGCTCGCTCATGATGCGCAGCTGATGGAGATACTCAAGCTGAGGATGCTGGCGTTGATAATAGATTAAAAGTTGTACAACGCGGGTCGCGTCACGCGTAGGGCTGCCAAGGCTGCGCGTCATCTGTGGCGGCCCATCCCGCGCGCTTGACTTCTTTGAGTGCTAGCGTCTCCCCCAGAAGCTTGGCAGTAATACGTCATGCATCGGGTCTTGGCAGTTTCCCCTTACTGAACTGATCTCCCCCTTTTCTTCTTTTTCTTCCGCAGTAACAACAACTTATCATTAGAAGAGGGTTCTGGGTGCTTCGTATAGTACAAGTCTGGAGATCTTCGTAGTGCCCCAACGCAATGAAGCAGTCGCACATTTCACGTCCGGCAGTCTATGCTTGAAATGGACAAATCGACATATATGATAATCGGAGAATTACAAAGCCTTTACGATTGAATGGGGAAGGACATTTTGGCGCGACGAATGGTTCTTTCTGGTGAAGCTTACAATCAACGTCTATTTACGATGTCGAGCATTGCAACAAGCAATCAGAATCACTTCATTTCATCAACCAAACTCCGCCTGCAGATCTACCATATTGCAGAGTCATCTCGAAGGGCAGACACTTCCCTCTACTCATCACATTCACCGCCCCACCTCAATTGCCTCTCAAGGTCCAGATTGGGCACATCTGTAGTCGCGTACTGTGGTAGATCTGTCTTACCTGAGCATTTGTTGCTTCGCGATCTCGCCTGGATCCAACCGCTCTTATCCCTCTTCGATGGTGGCCCAAGGCCAATCAATCTTCGCCAAATCAACAAAATTGTTCGGCCTTAGAATCACTTGTACTACTGATGCGACTTCTGTTGCCCACGAGTGAACCGCGTCTAGTACGTCCTGCAAATCGCCAGCGATTAGAAAGGTACTTGTCTGGATGGCAAAACCGAACACGTCGCTAGCTGAGATCAGCTCAGTCAATCAGAAAGGGACCATCTTCACTTGGATTACGTGATCTCTCAGAGCAGCTCTAATTGCATGCAAGATGGAAAGGGGATACTCATGCAGCTTCGACCCCATATACGCCGCCTCTAGTGGCTACCTACACTAACGCCCAAGCCCGAAAAGAGGTGTTCAAGCGGGCTTGAAGCCAGGCTTTGAAGTTCTCCAGGATAGCTTCACCCATACCTGCTTGGCCAAGACCACTGAAATACCCGTCAAGGATAGTCTGAGGAAGGCGCTGATCGATGTAATCAGCGTAAATATCTTAGCAATGTTGAATGCGTTGGTGGAGCTAAGAGAAAGCCAAAGTCATGGAGTCAGAGGGAGGACCTACAGCGCTCAATAGGAAGAGTATACGTCCTTGTGGGGACCACTGTATGGTCATCTTGCCGGGGGCTGGATTCTCTCTCTGGACAAGCCTAGAAGTCGCTTCAGACACGACGAGTTCAGGCTGATTGCGGACAGCAAGAGCAGTAGCTCTTTTGGGATTTATGAGGGCGGTTGGTAAGGCATTAATGTTTAAGGTTTGTTTTATAGTCAAGAGTATGGATGCTAGCTTATTCATAAGATCATTGGCACATGAATTGAGGAGACAATTATGGAGAGCAATCAAAGGCGATAGAGGAAGGCAGATGGCCGAAGAATACGTTCGCGTACTCTGCCTAGCCGCCTAATCTTTGCCCCCTTTCTTACAGATATAAGGTCTTTATTAGAATTTGCATTAACACCTACTTATATCCTTTACTTTTTCTTTAACATTACTCTCCGCTCATATCACCCGTTCCAAGATCTTTCAACCACCAATTTACATCACACCCATATCACTTCAAACTGATTGCAGCGAGACATCTCACAACATGTACATCTCCCAGCCCTCCCTCATCTTAAATATCCCAACTAATAACAACCAATAGGTGCTGGAAACAACTCCACGTAACTAAATGCGAATTGTGCCGCTTCGTCATTCGTTGCCAAGAAACCACGGTGGGATGCGACAGAGCGCGCGAAACTGGCTCTTGTTGCCCTTCAATCACTGGGCGGTTGCCGGACATAGATCATTGGAGCAGGCATGCCCCTGGTGAGTGTCCAAATCGTTGAGGCTGGCGAAGGGGTGGGGAGGTATGGGTCGCCGGATAAGTGAGGTTGGAATTGGAACGGAGAGGGAGTGCAATGATCTCAGGTACTTGTTGTTATTCCTTGTATGTTCGATGATCGATGGTGAGGTTGTGGTGGTAGTTGGCTTGTGTGTGGTCGGCCCGGCTAGGTTCACTTAATTCTTCATCTATGCAAAAATCGTCTCGAAGTCCTTCTGAATATGTCTGCTGCCCTATTGGTTATGATCACTTTATTACTGTGATGATTGTCCGTCTGGTTGCGACGGCTCTAGATGAGGGTTGGCATGGTTGGGTATGAGTACTAGATCATTGGTTTGGACGTCAGCGACGATAAGATGGTTATTCTGTAGCTTCTCGTCCGCATAATCGGTATTGAGAAAGAAGGCATCTAAGATTGCTGGAACGTTTCTCGAAATGTAGCGCTTAGCTCGAATAATACGTACCGTTTCCTCGGAGTTGGTGGCATACTTGCGACATTTGCGGAGATCCGCCGGATTAAAAACCAGCATAATGATACTGACCTCCCAATGCTATTGATGAGTTACGGAATAATGTTTGTTTGTCAATGCGCTTATAGACCCCCAGTTCGACGGATGGTTCAATGGCAATTGTATCGACAAGAGCGCTCACGTGGACCAGCAGATTTCTTTTCTTTGCTTCCAGTGCCACTTCATACTTCAACGGCTTTACCCTGCGCGCCGTGAATTGCCGGTGCCATTCAGCGCATGGCATTTATCATTTCAGGGACGCTTCCAAGAAGTATGAGCCAATTAATTTTACGCTCTATGGGTAAAATTCTGTCACTCACTTCGGTCTGAAGATGTTACCACTGTCGAAATCGGCTATCGATAGCCAATGTTGTTTGCGGGCGGTACATGTGGTCGCCATCTCGTAACGAGTCGTGGCTGTGTACCAAGCCGAGTCGTTTCGCAGAACTTGGGAATACGATATGTGTTTGTCGTCTGCCGCGTTCGAAAACTTGCTGACGTCCCCGAGTCTATGATGCTGATCCGTGAGAAGCTCTCAAATACCGTCCGAGTGAAACAACGTGCCATTTCAGCTCAAATTGTTGGTGACTGTGGTCTTATATAAGCTTCCCAAGTACCCTTAATTCTACGGCCCACATTCTGTACGGTACGTGCACATCTGATGCTTGTGACTACTGACTTACATGCTTTTCGGGTTTACAGGTTACTTGGCTAATCATTAGTGAAGACAGTGGGCAAAGGGCCCAATCCAGCTTATGCAACAATTGCAGACAACGAAAAAGCGAGGAGAAATGCTGATAGAAAAGAAAGGTTGTACCGGAAGATAAGCACATTCCTAAAGTACGGGTGTTAGTCGTCTCAGGCTTCTTAATACTCGTTTCAGGACTGTCGCAGTGTGACCACCATCATGAACAGACTCCCGCATGGGAAGTCCATATCAGCCCAATCTCGAGCCCTCTGCCGCTCTCGATGAGTCTGGTGGTGTTCAACATTGCTGTGCAGCCTTCAGGAATGCCTTTTGGGAATGCCTCCCTCAAGTTTGCCTCGAGCATTGCTTGAAAAGGCATATGCAGGAAGGTCTGAAATCATTCGAAGCGGTATTGAAGGCAAGACAGGTAGGCGAATCAGGTAGAAAAACAATATGCAACGGCTTTCACCCTGCTTTCAATACTTCTTTGGCAATGCATTGAAATTCTCTCTCATACGACCCGATTTGCACAACCATCCCTAGGCCGAACAACCATCATTCCAGCCGTGCAATCAGGCAACAGCTATGATCATGGAAATCCACTTCGGCCAGAGGATGGTGTAGAGCGAGTCTCCGTGACGGACTATGTGCACTCACCCTCCCCTCATTCGGCGGCCATTCTGCCCGGTGACGGTCTCTAGGGTGATCCGCCTTGCAAAATCACCTGTCATGATTCTAAAGGCAGTCTCATGCAAAGGAATGGCACAACCAGAAACAGGCCCATTCCATCTGAAGCATGTGCGGGCCCTTTAGTCGGCCTTTCCTGTTGATTAATGCCGCATAGAAAGCGATATAAAGATCTGATGTACGTGAACCGCTCTTGAGTCTTTCACACGAATTATTCAAGCTCTACTTTGCCTGAAAAAGACATCCTTTACCATGCTTAAACGGATCATTCTCACAGCACTGCTCGCATGTACTCTGGGCTCGTTCGTCTCTGGCCGTCTTGTCGTACGACAGGGCGCGACCGAGCAAACGACCAATGGCAACGCAAAGGTTCCTAGCGGCCAGGTTCCCACTGCTAGTGGCTCCGCCAAACCTGACGCTTACACCGTAGGATACTCCTCTGTATATCGCGCTTCCCTTTCCTCCATAACCCTGGTTCTTTTCCACATTCTGCCTACTGACTCTGTGTCATCGAATAGCAAGATAATAAGCCTCTTAATCAAGGCAGCATCTGCACTACCACTTGCTCTTCCAAATTTCAGCTTGATACCACATCCATGGTGTTGATCACAGGTTAATACTCTGCTGCCATCAACATCGCCCTCGGCGGTAGCTCTACAGATTGCAGACCATGTGGAAGCTAGTATAGCATCATCAACTCAGGGGTGCCGTATTGCTAGCCTGATCCGTATCCGTCGGCGTGCGATCATCTAAGTGGGAGTAAGACTTAAAGTCGCGTCATAGAGATTACAACGATTATCACGAATCATTGTACGGATTGCAAAGATGTAAGTTTGTCTTTCTTCCTATGTCCAAGTGGGTTTCTTGGGGTATTAGAATCAAATCGATATCAATTATCCTCCTAACGGATGGGATAACCCAAAGGTCTATTTCAAGAAGCTGCCCGACTCAGCGTGTGGGACAGGACCTTAATATATCTGTTGAATGGTTAGACCATTTAATTGATTAGTCACCTGCCCGATGGTGACGCTACGGTTCACGCAGCTGAAATGACCCCTATTGATTCATATCTCAACAACAACTGACCAGCCTTTCACAGCTACTCAAGCTTTTTATAAGCACGTGATCAGGGCTTCAAAAAGCATTCTTCAGATTCTCGAAAGCTTGAATATCAGGCTCGTAAATCGATGTGCTATCTCTTAGCTACCCAACAACACCCATTGGATACGACTTTGCTCCAATGGACAATCCCATACGTCGAATTGCGCGATGTATGTGGTGCCTCGCAGCAGGTCGTTGGTGTTTTCTAGCTACTTATTCCCAACCTAGAGAATGTGCGCTCATATAAGGCGGTCGTCGCTCGCGGCATTGTTATATGCTGTCTATTAGGATCATTAGCGACGCGTTCAGCTGAGAAGAGGGGCTCGAGTGCTGCTTACGATGATTATGTTGACTCGACCTTTCGACATCGTCATCGTGCGCTTAGATCCTGGTGCTCCTGTTAACACTAGTGAGTTCTCATCGATTAGCATTAAGAACGTGTGCAGCGAGTACAGATCATTTCGGATGTAAGGGTCGTCTTCCGTGTTGATCTGTCTAACCCTCACGATGGGTGTGCCTGGTAGTGGGGTTGTGATTGTTCGCGAGAAATCCTGTAGTAAGACTCTCGTTTGAAGGGTTTTCGTTTGTTCATGCAGTGGGGATGTTGTGAAACACTGGACAAGGGCGAGTAAGGAGATGAATGTTACGCCTAGAGTAGAAGATAGCATGATCATCTCTTCAGGAAATGGACCGGCCAGCAATCCTTTTTAGACTATCGGAGCGTGAGCAGAAGCAAAGCATATAGTTGCTTTGAAGACTTGTGGTGACAAGATATGCATATATCTTTCAATCACGCAGTAGTCTCTATGCTAAGAGCGCAGTAATGTCGCTACGATATGGATGTTGCTAAGTAATAACACGACCCGAGGTCAATCGCTAAGCGCCCGACCAAAGTTGGCCGATTGTGAACGACGCAATTCTGCGTTTCAATTCTGCAATTAGGTGCAATTGCTCAAAGACGTTGGCGTTGGTCTATGCGATGTTTCAACATGTCTTGGACCTAACAGAGCATGTGCCAACCGTTTCAGTCTTACAATACGCAATTGAGTGTCGTCCTCCCCTTGTGATACTCATTCAGTATGCGTACAGACCAAATGTCATGCTCCGCAGTGGTCGTGCGCTTTCAATTGTTCAGTCGTGACTCGCAACGATTGTAATAGTCGTTAGGGGCCTGCAATCCATAGAGTCATTGTGGTGTCGGGCATGGCATGTTTGAATTGGGTGCTTTTTGGAGCAAAGCTTGAAAATTCCCTTAGTAGGAATTGGTGCAAAAGACTCTAATTATATGGACATCCCCACTCTTCTACTGTATAGTAATGGAAAGCCAAGACACCGAGTTATGATTCCGCACCCAAAACCAGGACTATACTCTGCTACCATCTCTTAAAACCTACCTCATAGCTCACTGCTTTGTACACAGCACCCTAAATGGTCTCCATAATCTCGATTACACGATTCTTCGTGTAATCTAGTGAGTAAGATGATCAATAACCGCCAACCCCATCCTCATAATCCTCGACCCGTCCCGCGAGACTCTCCACCCCCCACTGACGCCCCTACTCATCACATTCGTATTCAATTTAACCAACTCGCTCACCTATCCCTAACACTCCGTATGTAGCGTCGCCGCGATCGGACTCCCGATCGACTCCACCGAGACCAGCAATTCGCCCTGGCCCTTTCCCCCCAAAAAGCGTCCGATCAATCTGTACAGCCACCGTCGCTTTTCCTGTAGCGCCCTTCTTCGGCTCTAACGCATCTATCGCGTTGGCGAAAATCGTACACATGGGCGCAATCAGGGAATCGTCGCCTTTCAACCCCAACGGATGCTTGCGGCCGTGTGCATGTTGCAGAGGACACGCGTTACGGCGTGTTCGGGATATCGCCGTCCATGAGCTCGTTGACTTTCGCGATCCCGTCTATACGGCTGTCGGGGATGTAGCAATAAACTTAGTCTCCGTGAAGGTGCAAGCAAGATATCTTTTCTTTACGTATTGCTCCTGGTACATGTATCTGGCGTAGGCATCAAGGTTATTGGCGGAGAGACAACAAATCTTGGGTTCGCTTGCGATGCCTTTGGGATATCCGTCATCGCTGCGTCGGATGGTAGAGAGGATGGTGCGAATGCTCTTAATTGCGGACGCAGACTTGAAGAAGGCCTTCAGACCATGAGGAGAAGAAAGACTATGTACACCAACGTCTGCAAGGACGTTTCCGAGTCAGCTATACGTTTTGCGGACGAGTAGGTTGGCTTGTGAAGCGCGAATGCCACAGTTTACAATCGCATAGTTGCCGCTATAGACGACATTTGAGGTAGTCTGCCCTGACGGTGTCTAGGCGAAGATTGTGATGAGGTGAAGGAACAAAGCCGGCGCGAAAACGAATACCTGCATCTTTGCGGGTCAGCTAATGTCTTAAGTGACTTTGAATGACTAATGCTGCTGTAGTAGGTGGCTGCAATTGTACCTCGATATCCAATGGTTCTGTTGTCAGATATTTGTCAAATCTAAGAGCAACGTAGCGGAGGTGAAGGGCAATGACACGGAGTTTGCCGGAGGATCGTCAATAGTTTGAGCTATTTCTTGCATCCCTACAACGAGGCGGGCGACCGGTATGTCTCATGATTGTGTGCAGGCGACAAAAGCTCAAATTAGTAGCAAATGTGGAGCAAAGCAGTGTAGATCTCACTTATTGTCAAACCTACGTTGCTTAATCTAGGAAACGATGGATGCTCAAGCGCTAATTATGCATTATATGTGAGTGTTTAATGCTTGGCTCGGAGCGGTCTATGAGGTCTTATCCATCACTTAACACATGCCTCTTTGCTTCAAAGCAACAGAAAAACGACCATTTACAGGTTGATCCGCGAGAGGCGAATCTTAGGGAGGGCTGGACATTTGGGAGGCCCCTTTAAATGATAGAGCTAGGGATTTAGGGCCCACTATCGACATGTTTGACAAGCCGCAGACACTCGCGAGCACCGTGATAGAAGTCTATTGGTCTATTTTATTAAGAGGTTACGATGGTACGCAAACAAGAACCTAGCCTAATGCTACGATATCCGCACAACGCCCCCAACTCCAAGACCATAATTACTCTGCCCATAAACCCCCCTTCCCACCCAACTTCCGCAAACCACCCTTCAACCCCGTCAATCACCGGTGATAGCGCTCACAGCATCCCTACAAAGCGTCTGGAACTCCAATTCTAATCCCACATCTGCAGGAGCTAACTCCGGCGCGACCAACATCGCCAATTCACTCAATCCATCAATGATCGCCTCGCAGATGAACTCATCGAAGGCGGAGATCCCCTCTTCGAGCTGCTCCACGACCGCTATGCTTAGGTGATTAGCGTACGGGTCCGAGCCACTGGCTTTCATGGGTGTTATGTGGTTCGGGGCGGAGCAGACCGTGCCTTTGTAGTGGCATTCTTGGGGCTTGTCTTCGTTGGTTTGCCAGAAATGGCGTTTTTCGAGCTCCGTGGCGTTGAACAACAGGTCGCGTCGTTCAACAAGCTGAAGAGCGCCAAGACCACGCTTTACCGGCCCGGTGGGAGAACAGCCATTCTGGGAAGATTCAACGTAGTCGAGCTCCTTGCAGGACTTCTTCGCGGCTTGTTGCTACGACGAGACAGCGGCGACGAGCAAGCTATCCCGGATCTTTGGGCTGCTGTACTTACTGTCCTCCACCGTGAAGGTGAGCTTTTCCTTGCCATTCTCCTCGTTCTCGCCCTTGATGGTGGGCACGTGTTCGATAACAGCGTGCTGCTTGGAATCGCAGTGATCGGATTTGTCCGGGCAGAGCGCTTGGATCTTGTCGAAAGCGTTTTTTCGCAGGTCGCTACCGTCGTTAGCGTTTTCGGCGTCGCCGATCGAGACGGTATCGTTGGAGAGGAAGACCGTGAAGGTTGCGGATGGGGCGGTGCTTGTGGTTGTGCAGCCGGAGATTGAGGTGCATTTTGGGGTGTCAGCGATGCCACCGACGAGGGTGCAGGCGGAACAGCCGGCGGTGTAGGTCTGTGTTTCTATTGTGATGGGATTCGCTACAGTATTTGTGGACAAGACCGTGTACCCGCAGCTTTGTCCCCTGCGGGTTGCGCCGGCGATGGTAAGCAAGGGGAGAGTAGTTGTGCCACATATACAGCCTTGCGCGACGATACCTTGACCCGGATCCTGCTCTTGCAAGAAGCATAATAGCGTTGATGTTGGTGTGATCGTTGACGGTGTGATTGTTGATGTCGGTATGAGGTTGATGTTGGTGAGCAGTTGGGATTATTGCGTCGCTTGAGGCGCGAATTCCCTATCGTGATCATACTTCGCTTCATCTTGGCGGGGGAATTAGCGAACCTGGTGTGATAATCTGCTATGGTAGCATCCACGCTTTGGTTAAATACTTCCATGTCTACTGGACCTTTACTTGCAAGCGCTCGAAATTCCAAAAGAGGAACTGCTCTTGGAGTATTGACAACATATTCTAACGCATCCTTGAGGCCGCCGATCTGACCGTCTATGACTTTGTCGACTTCAGATGATCGGTCGGGGATTTTATTGTCTTGGATACTTTACCTCCAATCCTTAATGAGAACTTTTCGCTCTTGCATGTTGTAAATCGTTGTAAAGTCGGTTCGCGGCATCACATTTGTTATCATTTTTGGGCTTTATCCATCCCATTGCTTATTGGTCCCTTTTGCGTACGATAGGACTCGTGAAAAGAGGCTTAGAACATCATCCTTGACACTTTTTGGACCAATGCCGTTTGGCTTGCTTTGGAGGAAATCCTTGGTGACCATGACCATGCCCTTGGCCGGATTTCTGGCGCCTATCAGGACAGAACTTTTGCCAGTGATTGCGAGGTTGAAGATATCCTGAATAGCCTTAAGAGACAACGGAGCCAGTACTTGGGGCTGAAATAAGATTGCATTTGCATCAAAAGCGTCAAGTTGCGTGACTACCCAATCATCAACCGGGCTGGTATTGATTTTAACTTTCTTGTCTTCATCAGACAGTTTGTTCGATGGCTTCCAGTCCGTCTACCAAGGTCAACATGGGTCATATATACTGGGAGGGAACTCCTACGATATCTTTGGCAACCGCAGCGGCCGCCTTAGCAAGGTCGCCTGTCCCAACTTTGATTGACGTTCCATCCAAAATGTATTCGCAGGTAAGCGCCCCTGCGGCTTCCAATGACGTGTCTCCATTTAATTTCTAGTTGGTGGCACTGCGCGGCCCAAGAAGCCTCCCCTTCAGTTGGTATGTCTCCTCTTCGCTGCATGACTTGGAGCCAAACTGATTCGTCCAGTCTCATCCGCCTGTACTACCATCTTTGGGGCTTGCTGAAGCTCTCCGAGCAGGCGCAGCGATCTCGCCTGGAATCGTACACTCTCGTACGTCTATATCAGTTACACGAGATGTCAAGAATCCCATGCGATGTTGGAGGGAAGGAGGAGCGTGCACTAGCCTTGTTGCCAGATGCCTGTTTGAGCGCATCATGCGATAAATTATAATAGCTCCACAGAGAGGCGAGAGTATCGCGAGAGGATTTGGGCACGTATAGATGTTGTGTGGGGGCAGGTGCATGGTGTGGCGGGAGAGGTGGTGGAGCATCATGCCCTTGAGGAGGGGTGGCCGCCATTTGTGGTGTTGTGGGATCATTTCCAGGGGAGTCTGAGGGGTATAGTGTGTCATGGGAAGGATAAGCAGAGTATGGAGAGAAGTCTGGTGAGGCTGTCAGGTGTGGGGGAGGAGCAAGATTGAGGATGGGTAGGTTTTCTGATTGGCAGAATCGGGGGTATCGTCAGTAGACGAGACAAATAGACGTGCTCAATTGAGTAGGGGTGATTGGGAGCTCGGGTTGATATGAAAGGGCTTGTGCTATTGGTATTGTACGGGGTTGAGGTTGGGTTGGCTTTGTAGTGGTACCTGAGAGAATTTGAGATGCTAATGTCTGCCCAAATGTGAGTTTCATAAGGATTTGATACGTGGCAAATGACAGCATTGCCAATTGTGCGAAGGGGAGCCTTAAGCATGCGCAGATCGGACTAAGAGCCTTATATTCTTTCTCTATGTGCATGATTTTGGCATGAACTGTACAATACCTCCGATTCTGATGACAAAAGATTCAGCCCACTCTTTGACAACACCATCGCTAATTTTATCTATTCTGGCTGATGCTATGGTCGAGACTCCAGACATACAAGAGTTCTGCAACCGCTTATGAGAGCGTATGACGCTTCTCGGCGTTCAGAGCCTTTCAGGCAATCTTGAACTCGGTCTCTACACTGGTCGGCGTCCAACCGAGACTCGTATCGCTCCTGACGTGAATAGCATTTTGTGCATGATAGGATGCTGTTCTCCAAAGACAAGATCAATCGCTCATGCACCGTTGGACTCTAGTTGTAACGCAATCAAATCCTTACGGCTCGAATGCTTAGTTGGGTGGAATGCTCGCTCTCCGCAGAACCGCGAGGCTCGAAGGGGTGGTAACACTTTATCATGACGAGGTTCACGGACAGAACCTGTTATGAGCGTCGATCAGATGGGACGTAGGGAGGGTATACAAGCTACTAGTATATCAATTGTGTATATCCCGGACTTTGAGTAAAAACTCGTTTACCGCAAGTAATGGCGACGTTGGTTTCAGTAATCGTCCAAACCCCAAACCATGCGAGATTCCAAGTAGTATCCGGCGACTTAAAGTCAGTCGTTACGAGGATCCAGAGGCGCACAATAAAGATGACCAAGACACTGGCGACGTCTTATTATAGTTCCCACATAAATAATAAGACGTAGTACACTTACAACCCACCAAGCACAAAGACGCCAGCAAGAGCTATTCGTTGGGACGTCAGGAGATATAATCGAATTGTAACTGTGTGTAAAGTCGCGTAGACACATTAAGTCACATGAAAACCGGAGAGAAAGCCGGGAGATAATTATTACTCACATGGTAACGGCAAAATTAGCATAGCTGCGTCCGTGGCAATATTAGGTAGGTACCGCAATACTGATGAAGAAGGCGTACGGATCAACAACGCACTTGGTAGGACTAATCCTGTTCTAAAAGCCAGAAACGGACCTGCGTTGAAAGATAGTGGTGAAGAGCTTTATGGGCGACTATCAGCTCGACGTTGTAAGCCATTAGTGTGAAGCTTACAGTTGCCAGGCCCTATGCTATCCAAACCGCGCTAAGAGCACAGACGTAGACTTTTATCGCGACGGCGAAGACGCGGTAATAGAATGCTAGGATCGAGTATCTTGCGAAACAGATAGTGATCGTGTACAGTATCTCCCCGAAGAATAGGTGTTTGAAGAACTTGGCCACTTCATTGGGCCCTAGGATCTAGATATACCGTGCGTAGCCCTAGTGAAGTCCTATTGTCGACAGATATGAGGAATTCGATTCTGATTCGATTCGTTTCCCGAAAGGGCAGCGACATACTAATGATTATACTAATCATAAATTCTAGCGAGAAAAGCTGGCGACAATATGGGATCGCGTTAGGCGCTTCGCTGTGCCACATTGAAACAAAAGACGTGTAAGGTCCTTATTCGACAAGGAATTCTGAGGGAAAGTCAAAAAGCACGACTTCCCTCGAATTCCGTTACGCCTGCGATTTACAGATTAGAGACCAAGTTGACTTAGTAGGTTTGATCTGGTGAGCCAGGCAATGCAACTTGCTCATGTAATCCGACCAACGCGAAGAGGCCTCCCTGTTTATATTTGAATCGAATACTCAACCCTAGAAGAGCTTGTAGCTCACTTGTCACGCGCTGCGCAACTGAACAATGAATATTATGTTCAAACACTTGAAGTCCAACATTGGGAGCGCATCTCGAAACCTGCAGCACATCACTCGGCGCTACGATCTAAACCCCACAGAAACCCACAGCGTACTCGTCTACGACAACGCCTATATCGGCGCTTCGGTCAACCAGAAGGCGAGCTACCACCACTTTAAACACGACGTGGTAAAGCTCCTCCCGCTCCTTACCCCAGCTTTCGCTACCCTCGCCATCGACCCCCTAACCCTCTCAAACTGGCTCGGCCCAGCCGTACCCCGCACAGACAATCTTTCCCTCATCTCCGTCCAAATAGGATCCCACAGACCTCGCCTCCGTCGCAAAGAAATTCTAGATCACCACCTCGTCCGCGAGACCATAGATTTCTTTTGATCCCACCCCTGGACCTTCCTCCTCTACAACGAAGGCTCCTCCGTCCCTCCCCGCCTCGCCGCTCACTAACCTCCAAATTCGGAGCAGCTCTTAGGAATCTGGTATGAAGACATCCGCAGCGCATTCCGCGAAAATCCCAGTGACGTCTGGTTCAAACACCTGACTACCTTCACCTTCGTCGCCATTTTTCCCCTAGCGTGCCAAGTCACGCTGTCCAGCTTTGTCTACCTGACAAATATCCGGGTCCTGCGGATTCAAATGGGCCCGGTGTCGCCGTTACATCCTGCGATGGGACAGCTTGAGCGTTTGTACGGCCGAGAACGCCTGGTAGAGGTGAGGGAGGGGGAGGTGCGCATTCTGAGCAGGTACTGGGACTCGCTGTATTCGAATCTCGTCAATGGGCAGTATCATGAGCATTTGCCTAAAAGGTTTGAGGTGCTTGATGTGCAGAATGAGAAGCTGAGGGAGCTTTGGGAGTATTATTATAATGAAGAAGGTTTACCTGGGTGGAGACAAGTTGATAGCGGGGTGTGGGCAAGGGATAATGTCAAAAGTGAGGCCTCCAAAGAGTAATGCGTCTGAGGTAATGCGCTGTTCTATTGAAATTGAATGAAAAGCGTCAAACTTGATATGGAAAAGGCGAGAAGTATATTATCCTTCCACAACGCGCCGAGCCGGAACAACACGATTTTCATAGACATGCGTGCGATCTGTCAGCAACGTGTTGTGGAGCTTACTATGTGCCGAGGATGTATAATGTTCCTGCATCTGCATCCCTTCAAGGCTTACGCTGCATTTATACTGGGTTGGACGCTCGATCCTAGGCTAGGCCAAGTACCAATGGTAATGTCATGGATTAGTATCTGTACCGTACTTGCAACAGGCAATCCAAAATCTCATTTCGACTTACTTAGGCCTACTATGCCTATTAATTATTAACTCCTGCCTCAGTAAGAGCATAAAGGCAATCTCTTTGATCTTCACCTATGGCTTGCCGGATGACGTGCATCTTGATCTTACTCGGAGCTTTGAACTTTGAGTCTCACTTCTAAGAGCACGAGACAAAGTAAGGCGGCTCTTAGTAGGACCCTCCTTAGCTGTTCCCTCTTGCTTCCACAAAATGCACGGATAGGGACGACAAGAACTTCTATGCATGTCCCACTTGATGTTGAACGTCTATGAATCCAATCTAAAAGAAGTTCTAGAATAAATGTTTCGCTAATTCTATTTTAGGCACACTCATATACGATTCTAAGTTGGTGCAGGTTAATGTTTCATGTATAATAGTGACTCTTGCGGGTCGCTTGTACGGTCCCAAGAATCTTTAGAAGGACGCGTGATCTCGAGACGAGATAGTCTGTCCTAGAATATTAAGCCTCTAATCATATGATTAACGTGAAAAACTTGATTCCCAATACCGAAGAAGAGATTAAAGGTTCAATTTCGCAGAATCTCCTACAGCCCATTCTCAGAATTCATCCTCCCACCTACCTACCGCCTTACCACCAAACACTGCAAAGTTTCTGCCTCGATCCCTCTCCCTAGTCTCTCCCCAAGACTACACACAATGGTCTTCTTCACAACAGCCACCACCATCCTCTCCCTCCTCCTTACTCTCCTGCCCTTTCGCTCCCTCGCACAACAACCCCAAGCTTCGCCTGGCACAACAAACACCTACAACATCTACGACACACACTCCCTTACCGTACACTGGGCCCGCAAACCTATCGATGGATATTCTCTCTACGCCAACACAGCCTACGACTTCCAGCTGTGGGTCAACCGCTTAGCCGACATCCCCTACTCCCCCACTTCCACCCCGTGGACGGACTGGTGCACCGTTCCCGAAGGTCAGCAACCCCCCAAATGTATACACATGCATATCGTACCTTTTGCAGACGGCTCGGGGCTAGGACCGGGGGAAGGAAAGGGGGATATGGATCGTGAATTGCTAGGTAAGGTGGTGGGGGCGATTAGAGGGTTGGGGTTTGCCAAGATTTGGACGCTTGAGGCGACGTTTGCGTTTGGACCTAGGGGTGGGAAGCCGGTGGGCATGGGATATGTAACTCAGAGGGAGAGTGATGGCAGTGAGACTGTTTTTTCGAGTGGGGGAGCGAGGATGTGGGGCCGGTGATTCCGGCGATCGCTATGGGGAGGAAGAGGGCTTTCGTTCTGTAGGAAGATGGGGTTGGGGGTTTAGGTTGTAATGGAGAAGTGTTGATACTGTTATTTGTAGGAGTGAGAGAAAGAAAGCAGCGGCGTGTGCGAATCAGCCGCAATGATTTCGATGTCGATGCTCGTATCACAGGTTTCTATAGCAGTCAGAGGGCCAAGATTTTGGAGCTCGACGTGAAATTGGTAGCCATAACCCTCCTAACCCTAAGAATAGGATTCAGAGGTACATTTGCTTACTATCACTAATCTTGTTCTATTAAAGCTTATGACCCAGTTTTAGTACATTCGAGTGGGTTTCGCCAATTAGCATTTAAAGTCTTCGTCGTTCTCTATGTCACACCTAAATAATTATTCGGCCCGACTAATTGACCAAATCAATCGATTAATTAATAAAGTGTGACACTCGACCCTGTTATACATATAGTCCTCATTTGCATATTATCCACAACATACGACTGTCCAATCCTGTAGTGCAGCGACAGAATGAACGAAGTCGTGCAAGCACTCGGAGAAGGGCGTCAACTCATCGAAGACATCATTTTCCGAAGAACTAGACAACAATTAATCCGAGACACAGCCATGCGACGCCCCCCTCTCATTCTTCAAAGCCACTAGCGCAAAGATTCAGTCGCAAAATGCTTCTCAGACATGCTATTTATGTACATGTGTCGATTTCCACGTAGATGCGCATATGCGCGCGCGTTTACAAGACCTCTGATCCTGCTCAACACATAGTACCTGCACGATCTATCAAGCTTCAGCGCCGAGCATGCAGACTTGGGAGCACGCTTTTCTCTGCACCTGCGTATTTTATGCTCTTGGGGTTGAAGCAGTCTTGCCAGCTACTCCAGCCACTGACACTTTATTCGGTCTAAACATCATTAATGATACGTGAGAAGATCTTCTGCTGATGCTCCATGAACCCTTAAAGCTGAACATCTAACAGACACATCCTCCCCCTCGCATTCGACCACGATGGATTCCACTTTTCCGGCGAGGTAGACACTAGCGTTGAAACTTACAATTGGGATGAAGGAGACTACGAGACCACCGGAGAATGCATGAACATCTTCTCTGGCATCGTCACAGATCATGAAGATCTCGCCCAGGTCGTTCCTGTTGACTTCAAAAAAACAGGCTTTCAGACATACATTAAGATGACCATAGATGTTATCGAACAAGGGGTACCACCTTTAACATGGGGGGAGCTGCGACACCTGCTTGACACAAATTGGCCCCTATATTACATGCCTGTGTATGATGAGCATCCATTCTGGTTCAACGTTACTAACGACGCCGGCGTATTCCTAAGACTGACTTTCGATCGAATGCCGGTCACGAATGCGGACATTACGGCCGGTGATGTTGGTGTCCATGCAAAACTATATCATGAGAACGCCCTGAATCCCGCAGATGTGCAATCAGTTTTAGATCAGGCCATCGCGGCATGGAGCCATCAACTCGATGTGAGGGTTAGTGAGGATGTGGTTCTGACTTTCACTAGTAATGACGTTACGATGCTTATCCAGGGAGAGCACAATGGAGAGCCACGGGGATGGAATTATGGGAAGTTTTCTGACGGTCTAAGGGAGCTTAGTAAATATTACCGCGATACAGGGGAGTACTGTTCGTTTTGGTCGTGGATTGGTTATCAAGACCAGAGTCAGGCAGGGGGCGTTACGACGTTGGATATCTGGGGCTAATGGCAGGTCTCCAGTGAGATTTGTTCGACTTTACAGGTGAGCATTATCAATTTCGTTGGGAGCCAGAAGCACTACGGAATCGAATCAATGCATATGGCTAGCTGAAAAGTAAAATTATAAATGTGAGCCTTAAGCATGGGTATTCGACCTGATGTTTGACACTTTGGAATTTCATACACGCGAAGGCGTTTCATGAGCGGTCACTACACGTTAGTCGACAGTAAAGGTCGTTCATAATATCTGTCTGAAGCAGCAAAGGCTTATGCCAAAATCAAGAAAGGCCTCTACAAAGCCTTGACCCTCTGGAGTAGTTGAGTCTCAAGATGAATATTGTAAAGGGAGGCTTCTTATCTTAATATACTCTGCACTATGCTTCTTTTAGCCGAGACAAGAGTCGCCACAATGTTACTTTCACGGATCTGAAATGGCTTGTCTATCTCAAGCAGTAGTACCCTATCAACGTCGACAAAGTCGATCCTATGCTTCTCTTCTCTCGCATCCGCTTGAACTAACCCTTGTTCGGCGGTCACCGTGCTTTACAACTGACATACGCTAGAGCTGAGATCTTGGAAGGAGGATTCTCTGTCGGTTGACCAACTCGAAAAGGTAGCACTTTGTTGAAAAGATTATAATATCAAATCTTTAATATATACGACCAAGGGTTGAGATATCAAATAAAGTGAATAACATCATCATATAAGACTTTAGCGAGATGCTGGAGCAGTAGAGAGACTGGCATAGAGGATGCTTAGTAAGAGAAATGACCGCTTTAGGACAATATAAGTGCTGAGAAGTGTTGGGCATATTGCTTATTCAAAAATCCCGCCACCCCGGAATTGAAACAAACATTCGTCTGCCCGCAAAAATCTTCCTCCCTATTAGCAGCTCATCCAAAATCTTATTTCATCGCCACTTGTATTAAACGTGCATAAAAGATCAAGTAAGTGCTGGCGTATCTTGTCCTATTGCTCACAGTTGCCGGGCAACACTAGACAGGCTTGAAGCGCGCTATTAGCAGTGTCTAATGGTGTCCGTCTAATTGCTAACAGTTGCAATAGAAGGGATTCGAGCAATAATCCACCCGCCAACGGCGGCTATGATAGAGAACGTCCTGGGGTACGTCTCTAACCTTTGGACTGCCTATTCTGTCCAAATCAGCACGCCGGACTATGCAGAGCACTCTGTTCGATCTCTACTAGGGTATCACACTTGGTCAGCGCAGGATATCCGCAGCTCCGCTCTCGTCCCCAACCTTCCTCCCGGTCGCACAGAAACGACCGCTTCTCGCGCTATCGGGACAGGAGTCGATCTCTCCGCCGCGAAAGATTTCATTCTCGCCACCGTGAAGGAAGTCGCTCCCCTCACTCCCCTCACCGCCCCTCGCATCACAAACACAGGAGCAGGTACCGCTCAAGAAGCGACTCCCCCGCTCGCGCGTGCGAGATGACCGACAAGGATGGAGTCTATCTCCATACTCGCGATACAAGCAAGAAAAAGAGCGAGAGAAAGAGGACAGGGCAAGAGACCGCTTCTACAATCGCGGGCATCATTATTGCAGTTCCTACAGAGCCAGGACTCCCACCCCGCTACGAAGACGCAGCCGATCTCGCAACCCCTACCGTTCCACGAGACGTGGGCAATATGCTCGAGAAAAGGCGCGTCTTGCGCAAGAAAAGAGAGAGCAATACTTCTCTGCGTGGCCGAGAGAAGATGGCCTGCAAATGGGCTCTCGCAGGTACAAGCAAAGCGAGAAGATACAGACAGCACAAGAACGCGGTGCAGCAGCGCAGCCCCAGTGGATTCCGCCCCCATGGACAGAGGCGCTTGAAGGAGACTACTAGGCCCAATTGGCGAATATCCGGGCGTACGAGGATGTGTATGGCACGGGTGATGATCTTGCCACTCTGCCTGCCTATGATGAGGGAGAGGGAGCTGAGATGTACTAGCCTTAGCCCCAGCCCCAGCCTTAGCAGATCGTTTAGCCTGAGTATACGCTGGAATGCAGCGGGACTACGCGCGTAGAGTGGCGGCAGTCACGGCGTTCGAGGCTTGATATGACACTGGGGAGCGAGAGGGAAGTCTTCCACCTGACGATAAGTCTAATCTACATTTGCCTGATTAGGCGTGATGAGAGCTGTCCTAGTCTAGCACTAGTCGAAATATCTTATCTCTAATTTTTTTACAGCTATTGCGCTAAAGATATAATACTCTATAGATATATAGTCTAGAATATATATATATAGCGCCCTAAATTTATCTCTACTCCTATCCTCTAGTTATTTATATTTATATTTATTTTCTAAATATAAACTATATTCTTTAACTTTTCTAAGTATATAGCTTAATCTATAAAGTAAAGTTTTATTAATAATTAAGGCTCTTTATAAGCTATAAAAGGGTGTAATTAATAGTTTTAAGCTATAAAGATAAAACTAGAGTCTCTTATAGTTTTAATATTATTTATAAAGATAATAAATTTATTTTATAAAAAATTATATATTATATTTTATAAGTATTCTTATAAAAAATATAACTTAGACTTACTTATATTTAATAACTTAATATTTTATAAATAAATACTTTATCTCTAAGCTCTAGTTAAATCTTATAAAATATTTAATATATTTCTAATTTATAAATATTTATTTCTTATTATCTTAATATTATATTTAAAATACTTATTAACTTATTAAGAGCTTTTATTTCTAAAATAAAATTCTTATTTAATAATTATATAAAGAACTTATTTTCTATTTCTAGAATATATATATTATTAATAACTATTACTATTATATTATAATATTTAAGTAAACTTAATTCTTTAAATATATATTTAAGAGTTAAGATTAAAGAATTCTTTTATTTAATAATATTTAATACTTTATACTTAGTTTATATTAAGAGGTTTAAATACTTTTTTTATATACTTTTATTATTACTTTTTATATAATTTTTATAGTTTAAAGTATTAGTTTTTATTTATTTTTTTAAATATTTTTTTAATTAAATTTTAATTAAATTATTAATATAATTATTTTAATACTTATTAAAGTTCTAAGATTTTAATTATATTAATTATAAATAGTTTTTAAAAAATTCTTAATTTAATTAATATATTTTTTATTTTTATTTTTCTTTATTAAAGTTATAATCTAGGGTTTAATTATAGTATAAATATATAGTTATTTAATATATAAGTTTTAATTTTATTATAAAAATTTATATATAAAACTTATATAGTTTAGCTTATTAATTTTAAATATAATCTTTATTTCCTTCTATAATATTTATATATTAAGTTATAAAGAATATAGTATTTTAGTTTTTAGTAATTAAAGGGGTAGTAACTATTTAATATAAGCCGCTATTAACTAAAAAGCTTTTTTACTAACTATATTAAATAATATATTTTATAATTAATTCTATTAGCTAGAGTTTTACTTAGTTAAATAGTATATTTTATTCTTTTTTTAATTAGTTACTTTAGCTTTTATTATATTTTAAATTTACTTATAAACCTTTAATTAACTTTATCTCCTCCTAATCTATAGGCCTTTTAATATTAATTATAAATATAATTTATTTTATATAGCTTTCTATTTAATAAGCTTACTATAAAAAGCTTATTTTAAAAAAAAGATAATTTTATATTAATTCTTTATCTAGTTAACTATTACTAGAATACTTTATAGTCCCTAATATAATAATTATAATATATATTTATTAAACCTTTTATTTCTATATTAATAAAATTATTTTCTTTAATTCTATAGGGTTAGAGTTAAAAGATTCTATTAGTATATTTATTATTTATATCTAGCTTATATTATAAGATTTAGCTTAACTTTTATTAAAATAAGCTATTATATTTTTTTACAATCTTTTATAGCTAGTTCTATATAATTTTTATTTATAATTATTAATTCTTTTTTTTTTATAAATTTTAATTTATTAAAATTATATTTTTTTATATAATTTTAAATAGTTTTTACTAAGTATTTAATTTTTTTAATTATACTAGTTATAAATAGTTTCTAAAGCGCTTAGCTAATTAATATACTTATTTCCTTTTTTTTTTTAATTTTTTATTTACTTTTTTTTTTTTTTTTTTTTTAAAGTTTTTAGTTTAATTTTAGCTATAAGTTTTTTTTTTTTTTTTTTAAAATTTTTTATCTATTAAGGCTTTTTTTCTATTATTTTAAGTAGGTAATAAAAATTTTACTTTACTAGTATATTTATAAAAATTTATATAATTTGCCTCTTAGATATAGCATTTTTTTTTAATATTTACTAGATTTTAAATTAAAAAATTCTAGTTTACTTTTTCCCTTTTTATAGCTATTAACTTTTTATAGAATAAAAGGTTCTAGGTTTTATTTAAAATAAAATTTTCCTTTATTAGTTTTATTCCTTATAAAATAATTTTTAAGTATTTATCTTTTTTTTCTAACTATTAAAGCTTTTATTATAATTATTAAAAGTGCTTTTTCTGCTTAATAACCTTTAATTAAAGTTTACTTTTTTAAAATATTTAATAAAAATCTATTTTTTCTTAAAATATTTAATTTCTTTCTTTTTTTTTTTTTTTTATTTTTTTTTTTTTTTAATTTTTATTTTCTTTTCTAAAGTTTTTTTTTTTTTTCCTATTTTAATATTTTTTTCTAATTTTAACTAAATTGCCTATAAAAACTATATTATTTAAACTATTTTCCTTTTATTAATTAATTAATTAATAATTATTTATTTTATTATAAGCTTTATTATTATTATTTTTTTAATTATTTTCCCTTTTTTTTTTTTATTTAAGCTTATATTTTTTAAATCTATTAGTTTTTTTATTTAATCCCTATAATTCTCTTATATTTTTCTTTTCTTTTTTTATAAAAGCTTTTTTTCCCCCTTAATTTTAATATATAATTTATATCTCTAATAAAAGAATTTTTTATAAAAATATTTTTTTCTATTTTTAAATACTTTTAAATAATATTATAATAATTAAT